GTGCACACCTGTAATCCCAGCACTCCAGGAGGCAGAGGCAGGAGGATTGCTGTGAGTTTGAGGCCAGCCTGGTCTACAAAGTGAGTCCCAGGGCTCCAGACAAACCCTGTCTCAAAAAAAAAAAAAAAAAAAAAAAAAAAAAAAGATAAATAAATAAATAAAAACATAAATAAATAGATGCTGGCCAGACTACACGTTCATACAAATCAATGTGTAAACATTATTAGACATGACAGATAATATGTATCACTTGCTTTCTGGCACTTAAAAAACTAGTATCCTACAGCACAGAAAAAGATCACTACAATTTCCCACACACTTGGCAATAATTCGGTAACTGTATGCCTTAAATAAATCATTAACTATAGGGAGACTTATCTTGAATCATTATTCAAGATTTCTGTGGCAAAGTAAATAGTCCTATAAAAGTTCAATACAGGGCCAGGAAGATGGCTTAGTTAGTAAAGTTGTCATCTTACAAGCATGAGGACCTGAGAATGGCCCTCCAGTTCCTATGTGAAAGGCCAGGAATGACACCTTTACAATCCCAGTGATGTTGACATGGAAACTGAAAACAGTAGGTCCTTAGAGCTGACTGGCCATCCAGGATAGACTACTTAGGGAGGGTTCAGGCCAATTCGAAACTCCATCTCAATCCAAAGAAAGAAGGCACCTAAGAAATGACACGAGGTTGTGACAGCTTCACCTTCATGGCCACATACCCTTTGATCATAATGGCCATCTTCATCAGAGCAGCTGTGATCGCATTTAAAGGACCCTGAGGTTGGGCCTGTTGTCTCTTTCGTGTTCCTCACAGGAGGGGTGTGGAAAGCCATTGATCCCTCAGCTGGTATCTCAGCCATTCTTGTCCATCTATTGAGTCTCTAGCCTCCAGGTCTTGGAAGATGCTAAAGCATAGACTATGGTAAATTAACTGAAGAAGGAATATCATCTATGCAGCTGTAGGAAAGTTGTCATCCATGCTGGGGTGAGACTTTTAAGTGGAATGACTGCTCTGGGGTCACCCAGGTCCTAAAGGTGTCCCTCACTCATGTTCTGAAAGTATGCTCAATTAACTCAACAATTCCTTAAGCTGGGCTTTGGTGGAATACTTGGGAAAAGGCAGATACTTGTTTTCTCAAGAACAGAGTTCTCACAGCACACAGGAACATCCGCAAACACGTGCACCCAGAGGCATGCACGCACACCAACAGCAATGCATGAACGTGGATATTTGTACTTCTTACAAACTCTTTATTCTTTCCCCCAGGTATAATAATGTGTGTATTTAAAATAAGCAATGCATAGCTATAATTAGGTCTCTTTAGGTTAAAAATAGGGATAAGGAATTGACTTGGTGGTAAAGTTTTTCATTTGATCACAGAATCTACACAGTGTCAGGTAGGAGTCCCTCGGTCTACCAAAACCTGACTTGTGTTTGAAGGACTTTCTACATTCAAAACCCACCTCAGGTCTCTCTGCGCAGAGTGAAATATGTGGCGATCAGGACTGAGAGGGAGGGGAGTGAGTGGCAACAGAGCCCACACAGAATCCCGGGAATCAGACTCCAGAGACGAGACTCAAAGGCGCAGATCTAATGTTATTATCCAGTGTAACAGCCTTTAAATGATTCAAAGACCAATCAGGCGATCCCACGCTGGCCTCAACCATAGTAACAGTCAATCAGATGGGGGCAACTCTAAGGAAATGTGGGAGATGGGTGGGGGCAAGGTCACCTTAGAAGACTTCAGTAAAGAAGTGGGAAGCAGTCACTGCCCTAGCCTCAGATCCATTTTGAGCCTTTACTAGTGTGCTAGGAGTCCCAAGTAGATAGACACTGTGTGTAGTGGATCAGACCTTTTGAGAGTCGTAAGATTTGCTGACACTTCACTTGCCCTATGGGCCTCCAAAAGGCTTACCTCGACATTCCCCATAGGTTCCCATTCGGTTTTAATTTCAAGCTTAAAAATCTCCAAGAGAGCTTTAGTGCACTAAGTTTGGAGGTGTATATGGGTTTTAAGTCGTATCAAGAAAGATATAATAAGACAATTACCATGGCATAAAAAAAATAAACTGTATTTTTATGGCATCTGGAACCACGGACCCATCGTCACCATCATCTCCTTTACTCAGGATATGTGTTATTTTTCCATTCAGAACAAAAGGCTGTAAAAGCAGAGCTAGCATTCACTGGCCTGTTGTCAGTCTTAATTGACTATGTCACATCCATAACCAACATGGCAGTTTTAACAGTAGCCATAACCATCTTGGCCTTTTCTTTAGGCTGAGCCATGGCAAACAGGAATGAAGAAAATGTGTCAATAATGACATGCATTTAGGACGACCAAGCTCTGGAACGTGAGTCATGTCCACTTGCCACAAGCTGTTGGGCTGAAGACCTCTAAGGACAGGTACGTGTTAAATGCTTACAAGAACTTGTGAATAATTTCGGAAAAAGCTTGTGGCTTGATAGAGCCAAATTGTGAAATCTAGAATGGAGCAATCGGGCTTCTTCTGATGGAGATGAGGAAGGCTGTCACCAGACAATCATCCTCTGGTTTCCCTCTGAAATGGCTCCAGGAAGCCCCAAATGAGAGCATGCATGCTGAATAAAGAAAGGAGCCTGTCTTTGCTCAATAACTGAAGTTGAATCATGGTCAAATACAGAGGACTGGTTTAACAGCTAAAGGTATAGCCTTAACAGCATTAGTGGCATATTGGCTGTCACTGAAAATATTTAATTGGGTCTTGCCAATCTCTTGAAAGGGCTAAGATAGCCAACAATTCTCCTAACTGCACAGATCCTAAAAGCAACTAGTAAAGACTTTAGGTTGGTGGGAATGATAAAAACGAATAGCAAAGCTAGAACATGTCTTTGAGGACAAGTCTATAATATAAAGCCTGAAGCGGCATCAAGAATGGGTTTTTCTAATAAGTACCATCTATGAATCACAGGTGTTAATGGAAGCATGGATAGGATTTTATTTTTAGGGAAATGGTTACCTATTTTGCCCTGGAAATTTAACAAGAAGAGATGAGCAATATAGTGGGATGAAAACGTCCAGGCAAGTTAAGTCCTGGGAAATTGGAAGAATTCTATCTGGCTTTTTACCCAACAATAAAAGGGATGTTTTAAGCACTTTTAGTGCAATAGTGAAAATATTGTCTGTAATAGATAGAACATTAGGAGCAGAATAATATACCATATAAACCTAGTATCATATTTTATTGGGAGGTTAGAAAAGTGCCCCAGTAGGAAATCTCTGTGTGGGTATTCTAAGGCCTCAAACCCCACTTATGTAGAAGGGCTTGATTAAGGCCTGCATTAACATCTTTCAAAGCTTGTTTTGCCTCCTCTGTAATGGTTAAGATCTCTAGCTGTTTGGCACTGTGACACAGGAAAGGGGGGGGTGAACTGTCCTGAGGTAACTGAAAGGCAAGGACTAATCCATGCCAAGAGTGCCAGAGATTGTCATGGAAACCAACGTAGGGGGTGTGGGGAAGAAAACTGCCAGGGGTTGGTCTGATGCTTGTATATTGTTGCCTAGATACAACTATCCTTGTTAGTAAAACTACTAACTGGCTGATTAAATGGCCTGTATCTTGGCAGGGCAGAATGGGGTAGGTGTGGCTAAGGCTCCAGGGTTTTTGAGGACAGGAGACTGACAGGGAAACAGATGGGAAGAGAGAAGGAAGGACACCAATACTGTCGAGAAAAAGCCCAGATGAAGAATATAAGCAAGTACCATGGGATTATGGATCAGATGAGGATTAAGGTGAATGGCCTTGGATGGGGGCTGGGAGATAGATGGTGAAGATATTGAGACAGTGTAAGTAAAATATCTGCCTGGCCCAAGGTAAATAAGGCAATTATAAAATTTAACAAGTGTCTGTGTTTTATTATTTGTGATAGTGAGTTAAATAATACCACTGTGATAATCTTAGGGCTAATAATAAACATACAGCCAACACTCATTTTTATTTACTACAACACATAACTGTAACTTTGGGGGCTTAATAACAATGGAGGTAACTGTGTACCCCCAAACAAAGTGCACCTGATGGAAATAATTTCGAGGGCCTACCATTTGAGTAGCAGAAGCATAGTTACCTTCTCCCACAAGTGCCATCAGGCCAGGTTCCCTTGGCTGAGAACTTCTCCATCGGAGAATGCAGGTTTCCATTGAAGGAACTGCCCTCTAGATAAGATTGTTCAAATAATATTTTTCCAGTCCTGGGGTATATTTAAAGTAGCGGCCAAACCTTTGATTAATGAACGATGAATGTAATCCTTTCTCATTGCTTTTATCCAGGAATTTGCATAGGTGGCTGCTCCCTTGACAACACGGGGCCATTTGCCTACAGGGGAACAGAAAGCTGCTGCCCTTCCCTTTGAGGCTGCACCATATCCTGGTGACCCTTCTCCTTCAGTCTGTTTCACTGAATTGATCCAACTCTGGGTACAAGGAAGTTACTTTTGGTTTGGGTGGGTCCTCACCTATCTACGGAGCCAGCAGCGGTCAAAGCCTTCCTGGCAGAGCCCTTAGCTTTTTCTCTCTCCAGGCTCTGCCATCAAGGTCAAAGAAGATAAAGTGATAGCAGATGCCCTAAGGCATCTTAGTTAAGAATAGGGGGAGGGGAAGTATGGTGGAGGCTCTATCTCTCTTTTGTGTAAGAATTGAAACCCACTCCCAAGTTGGCTCATCCCAGTTCTCTCCTACCAACAAGGACACAGTGTAAGGACCTTGTCATAGAAAGGATTAAGTTTTTCATTCGAGAAAGAAAGTCGCCTACTCTCTAGCATAACTTCCAGGATTTCTAATTGATTTTCTTTATGCTGAGAATTTGAGTTACCCATTCTGAGTAGGGAAGTACACTCCCACAATGACTGGGGGTCCCAGATGTCCCTGTTCAGGTGACAGCTGTGGGGATCAGGAACTGAGGGGAAATAGGGTGAGTGGTGACAAAGCCCACACAGAATCAGACAACAGAGACCAGACTCAATGGTGCAGATCTAACTTTATTGTCCAGTGTAACAGCCTTTAAATGATTGAAAGACCAATCAGACCATCCCATGCTAGCCTCAAGCACCAGTAACAATCAATCAGGTTGGTGCAACTTTAAGGAAATGTGAGAGATGGGGGTGGGGGGGTCAGGGTCACCTTAGGAGTGACTCTGACCTAAAGAAGGGGGAAGCAGTCACCGTAAGTCTCGGATCCATTTTGAGACTTTACTCGCGTGCTAGGAGTCCCGAGAAGATCAACACTGTGTACAGTGGATCAGGACCTTTCAAGAAGTCATAGGATTCGCTGACACTTCACTTGCCCTATGGGCCTCCAAAAGGCTTACCTCAATATTCCGCACAGAAATAGACGAGCCTTGAGCTACTGAAAACCTTCCCAGTAACGTACTGACATTTTCTTCCTTCCATTTCAATTTGATGATGTACCTTCAGTTGATAGAACAACTGCGCACACACAGCACGCCTAAGGATTCTCACCAGCGTGAGTTTGCTGGTGAGATAACAGTCGTGACTTGCGCAGGAAGCCTTTCCCACATTTGTGACACATAAAAGGTTTTTTATTGCTGTGAGTTGTAAGATGCGCTTGTAAAGAAGATCTACCACTAAAAGCTTTCCCACACTCAATGCACACATACGGCTTCTCACCTGTGTGGATTCTTAGATGCTCATTCCGTTGTGCTCTCGAAGACATGGCTTTCCCACAGTAGCTGCATGTGTAAGGCCTCTCCCCAGTGTGAATTCTCTGATGTGTACTGAGAACTGAACTGTGGCTGAAGGCCTTACCACACTCAGAGCACACATAAGGTTTCTCCCCAGTGTGTACCCGATGATGCACTTTAAGGTGGCATTTTCTTCTGAATGACTTCCCACAATCACAGCACTTGTAAGGTCTCTCCCCAGTGTGAATTCGATGATGCACAGGCAGGTGGGATTTATTACTGAACAACTTTCCACAGTCGCTGCACTCATAGGGCTTCTCCCCTGTGTGAAACCGATTATGCTTCTTCAGATCTGATGCATAAACAAACAACTTCCCACAGTAGCTACATGTGTAAGGCTTCTCCCCAGTGTGAATTCTCTGGTGTGTGGTGAGGACTGACTTTTGGCTGAAGGCCTTCCCACAGTCAGAACACACATACGGTCTCTCACCCGTGTGTATTCGAAGGTGCACCTTTAGGTGGGACGCATAACTGAATGGTTTCCCACAGTCATGGCATATGTAAGGTTTCTCCTTTGTGGGAATTTCATGATGCACCTGCAGGCTGGATGTACTCGTCAGAGATTTCCGACAGTCAGGACATTCGTAAGGTGTCTCTCCTCTGTTTGTTCCTGGATGGAGACACAACTCAGATTTCTGAAGGAAGGATTTCCCACACATGTGACAAATAAAAGGTGTCTCTGTAGTGTTAGTTATTTGTTGCTGATACAAAGTTGATTTAGCAGTGAGGTTCTTCCTATATTTGTTATATTCAAGTGGTTGGTCCTGAGCAAGAATTTCATGCTGCATAAATAGTTGCTCAGGGCTGACAATGTTTCCAAACTGATTACCTTTGCATACTTTCTCTCCTCTGTCAGGGCTTGTACACACAGCATTAGAAAGGCCTTGTGTGAAGAACTGACAAGACTCAACAATGTCTTTAGGCTGCTTTATCGCACTGCTTTGATGTTCACCATCTGCCTGAAGGTTGGGCAGCAAAGTTTTTTCAAATGGGTAACATCTTGGAGATCTCTTTTGTGTAGGAATAAGGTGGGGGCCTAAAGGAATGGATCCCCCAGTTGCTTCACATTTGTAACCACTGTCTTTGATCAGTGTCTTCTGTTTGAAGAAAGCACCAGGACTCAAGGGTGGGATCTGGTTTTGCTGATCTGTCTGTTTAGGGTCTCCATCCTGCCACAGTTCCTCTAGAATGGAACAATATGAACCACAGCTAGTGATTACTCTTGATATATCATTTGGAAAAGCAGCTTTCTCACAAATTTGGTGTAGTGAGTCATGCTTTGATTCCCCTGTTGAGAAAAGAGATGAAGAAACAAACACAGTGAGCCTGGAGGAGGAATTAAGAGTCTCAACACAAATCTGTGTCAGGTAATAATGATGCTGATGATGGAGAGAACGGTGAGAAACGCTATCATGACCCGTATAATATACCACACATTTATGCAATTCAGCACCCAGTTGCCAGGCAACTTTCTCTGCAGTGAATAAACTTGTAATCCTCACAATCAGTGGCCAAGATCACCTAGACAATTTGTTGGAAGATTTGGTTTGGTGAAAGACAACCAACTTATGAAAGAGGTGTAGTGATACAGATATAGAAAGATAAATAAGTAAGGGAGAAAACAGACATTAATTACTATTGTCATGGACAACCAAAGTCGGAAAAAAGGGATAGAAACAGGACTGTATTAGCTGTAGAAAAGCCTTAGACCATTTTTGTTGTTGTTATTACATTTTTTTCTTTCCTTCTGTAAGGATTAACTGCAGGCTTCACCCATGCTCTGCAAGCCCTCATTCCTGGGCTTTACACTCCCAAATTTATTTATTTTCTGTATCTTATTTACTTGATGTTTTTGTGTATGTGTTCACATGTGTGCATCTGTTTATTCATGCACGTGGTGGTCAGGTCAAAGGTTGAGTGTCTTCAATCACTTTCAATCTTATTTTTGAGACAAGGTCTAGACTGCCCACCAGAATGCCCTAGGGACCCCCCCTTGTCTCTGCTGGCCTAGATTACAAGAGTGAGCCACTGTGCTCAGCTTTTGTTTGTTTGTTTTTAATGTGAGTGTTAGAGACCGAACCTGGGTCCTCATACTTGCATAGTGAGCACTTTACCAACTGAGCCACCTGCCCAAGTTTGTAGTTTTGATGTGTTTTCTATGTGTCTGTGTGTATGAGCGTATTAGCTTGTGTATGCACTCGTGGAGGCAGAGGTGGACGTTAAGTATCTCTTACGGTTCTCCAACTTATGCTGTGTGGAATTTCTGTGATCACCTCTGTGTGCATGTGAAGGCCGGAGAGCAACTTTGGCTATCTTTCTCTGCTGCTCTCTATTAGTGATTTTTTAAGACAGTTGTTCACTCTTTCAGCTGGCCTGACTATTAAGCCCCTGATATCCCGCCACTAATGCTAGAGTTGCAGGCACACAGGCTTTCGTATGGGTGCTAGGATCCAAACTCAGGTCCCGATCACTGCACGGTAAGCATGTTATTCCCTGAACACCTCACTAGCCACAACCAGAAATTCTTAAATAGAAACTTTACACACTACTGTCTTCACTTTTTTGACACTGTATTGTCAATCCTTCAGCATCCATGTGGAATATTATAAACTGCACCACAGAGATCCTAAAAAGCCTCTCCATAAGTAGCCAATATTGGGCTAAAAAGATGGCTCAGTGGTTAAGAGCTCTTACTGCTCTTGGAAAAGACTGGAATTTGGTTCCCAGCACCCACATGACCACTCACAACCATCTGCAATTCCAGTTCCAGGGGCTCAACACTCTTAGGGCTCTGCAAGCAGCAGGCTCACATGCGGTACGCAGGCATCCACGCAGGCAAAACACTCATACATATAAAATAAAAATCCAAACTTAAAAATAAATTTTAATTCTCCAACATAACTCAACATCAACATAAAAATGGTCAATTACTCCTAACTCTAAGCATTTCCTCATATCCTCTAACTCAGTGGTTCTCAACCTGTAGGTCATGACCCAGCAACCCTTGTAAGGTGGAGATGACCCTTTCTCAGGGGTAGCATATGAGACATCCTGCATATAAGATAATTACATTACAATTCATAACAGTAGCAAAGTTACAGTTACAAAGTAGCAATGAAAATAATTTTATGGTTGGGGGTCACTACAACATGAGGAACTGTATTAGAGGGTCCCAGCATCAGGAAGGTTGAGAACCACTGCTCTCACTCAACTAGTTTGCTTATTTGGTCTTTTATTCCAACTCTACGGAATAACCACTCCACGTGCCCTCAACATCAACTCCCATGTCACCTCACATTTGGGGTGATGCTACTTCACGTGAACCATAAGAGCAATCATTCTCCACATCCTCATGTTGATGGTTGCATCTCAAGCAACCTTTCCTTTAACACACAGGTCAAAGGCAGTAAAGGATACTTTCCTAACTCTCATGAAGTTACTCCACACTGTCCATTACAACCTGTTTCCTTCTATTTACTTTGGCAGACACCAAAAAATCTTCTAAAATAGGATAAAACAGTATATTCAGCTTATCTTTGGAAATTCAATACATATATTTCTTTACTTGCTGTAACTGCTGTCCACGGGGCTCAACACTGACAAAACAACAACAGAGAAGACAATCTAATCAACAGATTACATGCAATAGGGAACACTAGCAGAGCAGACATTAACAGAGACCTGTAACTGCTGATCAGAGCACAGGTGAGGAAAACACTGAGGGACAGTACAGATTGGTAATATACAGCCATTAAAAGAGCTGGTGAATTTTACATCATACAAAATGATTGAATATTTGCATCAAATCATCAGAAAGAAGGAAAAGAAAATAAAAATGTCTGCTGTAAAAACTGTTAATAGAATATTATGAATTCCTAAGTGAAGTTCACAAATCTCATTAGGAACAAAGTCTAAATAAGGAAATAGGGAATTACTCTGTATTGATTTCGGTAGAATTAAGAAACAGTCATTTAAACAGTATCCTAGAAAATGAAAGTATGAAGCAGGAAGTAGGAAATAATAAACTCAAGAACAAAGCTGGGCACAGTGGCAATCCCAGCACTCAGGGAGGCAGGTAGATCTCTGTGAGTTCGAGGCCAGCCTGGTCTACAAAGTCCAGGACAGCCAAGGCTACACAGAGAAACCCTGTCTCAAAAAACAAACAAAAACCAAACAAACAAAAAACACCCCTAAACTCAAGAAGAGCCAAGAAACCAAAACTTCTCATATGAAAACACCTTCTAACTTGAATGATGATAATCCAGTTTCTGATGTCTCAAAAATAAAGAAGGCCATTCATAGGACCAGTCCTCTAAATTGCTAGATGTGGCAGCACGTTTACCACAGAGACTGCAGCTGCCGACACAGACAGCATCACAATTCAAATGTGAGGCCTGTCCTGGTTTCATTTCTGTTGCTGTGATAAAACACTCTTTACCTTTCATTTTAGGTTTTAGAGTCCATCATTTCAGGGAGTTCAAGGTGGTAGGAAACGGAAACAACGCTTCACACATCACAGTGTGAAAAGAAGTGAACAGTGTAAACACAGGCACAGCGACTAGCAGAGGAAGACAGAACACACACATTTTGTTACTCAGCTTGCTTTCAGGACACATCTACGGCCTGACTGGAGGGGGCAGTGCTGCCCACACAGCTGGGTCTCCACATCAATGAACACTATCAGTACGATTCCCATAGGCCAACCTAAGTCGACAATCCCTCATTATGACTCTTTCCCGATGGTTCTACACTGTATCAAGTTAACAAAACTAACCACAGGAGGACCAAGGGATCAAAACAGCATGGCTCTAAAAGGCAATTCTTATAAGAGAGTAGACTGGGTCCACAAGATGGCTCTATGGGTAGAGGTGCTTGAGAGAATGGACTTCCTGCAAGTTGTTCTCAGACCTTCACAGGGGTGAGGGGCCTGGGCATGCCCAGGGACATAAAAGCACACATAAATGTAGTAAGAAATGATGACACGGGAACATATAAAACAGGAATAAAGTGGTGCCACAATTAGGAGGACACAAAAGAAGATCCAGGATGAAAAGGGACACTAATGAAGAGATTAATTAAATGGGGTGAAAGAATTAGAAGACCAAGATATAAAGTAAATAAATTAATTTTTAAAAAGAAAAAACAAAGATAACAAGAAATTAGAAGACAACAAAATGATAAAACATACAGAAAATAATATACACAGAAAATATAGTTATATAACAGTTATAATGAGATGCTCTAAATAAGTAAGAATTATGAAAAGATATCACAGGGGCCTGGAAAGATAGCTAAGTGGTTAAGAGTTGTAATGAAAGTTTGGGTTTCTTTGTAAACTCAGTTATGTCATGTAAGTATGGTTTAGTGGGGTTTTAGTTGGGCTAGTTTGTCCACAGCTGCTAAGTGTCTTGTGCAGGCCACAGCTTCTGCCAGCTGGTAACGGCCTGCCTCGTGCAGAGTGGGCATGGTCTAGGACTCTGGGGAAAATAAATTTGAGAGCTGAGAAAGAAGGTGTGGCACGTGAGGGTTGGCATATGGCATTTAAGTTTGGAGACCAGAGATAGATGGTGTGGTGGTCTGGAGCAGACAGATGGAGAGAAGAGAGAAGTTCAGGGAGCAGCAGCTTGTTGATGAAGATTGGTAGATCCCCAAAGACCCACCGACCCTAAACAGCTGGGAGAAGTAAAGGGATCCATGACCTCTCTCCCTACTAACCTTCTCTCTCTACCTAGCATTGGGGGGTTGGTGAACGGGAGGTAGAGGCCTCAACACCAAAATAGAGTAGAGTTTTAAAAAACAAGTGCTACAGGACTGGAGAGATGGCTCAGCAGTTAAGAGCACTGGCTGCTCTACCAGAGGTCCTGAGTTCAATTCCCACCAACCACATGGTGGCTCACAACCATCTTAACGTGATCTGATGCCCTCTTCTGGCCTACAGGTATACATGCAAATAGAGCACTCATACAAAAAAAAAAAAAAAAAAGTAAATACATCTTAAAAACGAGGGCTACAAAGAGCACCTGCTGTTCTTCCGGAGGACCCACGTTCAGTTCCCAGCACCCACATGGGTGCTCATAACCACCTATAACTCTAGCACTCTTTAGGTCTCTTCCAACACACAGACATAGACACACACACAATCTAAAAAACACAAATAAAAAGGGAAACGTTTCTTTTACTCACTGCACAAGCAATATATTAATGAAGTCGATGGTGTCAACTGTTGACAGTTAGGGTATGCAAACAGAAATCCACATGTGGTTTGTTTCATAATTTCCAAACATGGACTAGGAATTGGTACAGACCATCAGAAGGAAACTTAAGCAGATAACTATTTACCCGGTAACCACATTTCTTCCCCTATTACATACTCTTAACAAAATGTGGTACAGTGTTTACTGTGAAAACTCAAAGTTGGGGGCTGTGTAGGTGCCGACTACTGAGTGGATGGGTCAGTCAGTCAGCTGACTACACTTCTTAACTATCTACCTCCACCTGGTAACAGTCACTCTCCTTGACAATCACACCTCTGATGTGGAACATCAACCTTCCCCATGTGTGTGTCTTCTATTTTCTTCATCTGAGGATGAACTCCGGCCTGGAGACTCTGTGATCTGGAAGGGCAGGTCTGTGTGCATCTACCTTCTTGGGCTTTGGAGGGCACCCACTGAACTCTGCACTGGCTAACTGCTAACATCAACCCTAACTACTGTTCAAAGAGCAACACATGAAAAGTGCAACAGAAGTGAGCTCGAAAAAGTTAGAAATCACGACAGACTTCTAATAATCTACCAAGTTCTGCAAAGAGAATATGAGGCCCATCCTGGATCCCCAGGCCAGCTGTGCTCACCCACTGACAAGAGGTGGCTGTAGATCTCCAGCATCACCTCCTGGTACAGGCGTCTCTGGGCAGGGTCCAGGCACCGCCACTCCTCCTGGCTGAAGTCCACCGTCACATCCTCAAAGGTCACTAATCTCTGTAACAACATACTCACTGTGAATTATCCATTGAAACCTACTAAATAGACATGTGTTTTTAGTGATTTTTGTCCCCAGGACGTGCATCAAACTTTCCACAGGTTTCACATTTTACAACCAGGCTTTAGCTGCATATAAATGAACATCCTTCCATGTACTGTATGCTATGTTTCAACCACCCGCACAGGGGACAGAATTTCTCTACTAAAATGAAGCAAGACAACAGCTAGTAAGCCTCATTATGCTTGTCTAGAGTTGTGTGGGCCTCCTGGGGTTCAACACTACAGTATGAGCTTCTGTGCTCTGAGAAACTCAGCCTGGTAAAAGAGCAAATGTAAGACTCAGCATGGGGCCAAAAGGAACAGTTTATAAACAGACACAAGGAAAATGTTGGGAGGGACAAATTAAGGAGCAACTGACATTCTCCACAAAGCACAGCAGCTTTGGCTGTAAATAAGATGCTTGAAGTAGGATGGAACACCAAAAAGTTTTCCAGAAAAGAGAGTGAAAGTGGGGAGGTAGGAAAACCCACAGTGAATTTAGAGAGCTGCAGAAGGCTCTGAGTGAGATCAAGACCCCTTCCAGAAGTTATAAAAACCTACCAGCTGGACCAAACTGGGTGGGAGACAATTTGGGGGTTACAGCGCTCAAACCACAAACCATGCTGAGGATGTCAGTGACACAACTGTCCAAATTGCCCATGCCCCTGGAGGCCACTCCTCATCTGGGCTCCCATAATCAAGCCAAAATAATCTCTCTGGTCCAGCAAGCTAGACTTGGATGCACCCACTTCTCTGTCCTCCCAGTCTCCTTTATCTGGGATTAACAGAAACAGGCCTCCCCAGAAAGCCACAGATGGGCAGATAAACCTAAACCCCAGATGTAGCACAACAAATACTTCATGAAAAGATGAGGAAATGCTAGCATTTCAGTTGTTCAGGATCCGCTCTTAGCTAGAGGATCAAGGCTGTCCCAGAAACAGAGCTCACAATGTGCTATTTCCAGTGCCTATACCCTAGTTCTAGAGAATGAAACCAGAAGCGTCTCTCCTCACCTCACATGACTTGTGCAGCTCCTCTGCTCCTAGTTTCTGGGGCTTCTGGCAGAAATTCACATCAGCAGACATGTCCTCTGTGATGTCTACCCTAGATCTCAAATTTCCTCGGGATTCTTTGTGAGCATATGGAGCCTCCGAGTAGAGCTGACAGGTAGAGCTCAGCTTGGTTGTGCTGGGAAATCAGCAGCATGAACGAATGGTCTGACCCAGGAATCTACAAAGACACCGGGAAGTTCTGGAAAATCAATGACTGTAAGACACTCATCCAACATTTGCACATGAAGCTCTGAGGGCCCTGACAGCCATCTTAGAGACATTGCTGAGCACTGGACAAGGTTACGATAAGCCCAACTCTCTCTCTTTTTTTTTTTTCCTCGAGACAGGATTTTTGTGTGTAGCCCTGGCTGTCCTGGAACTCTGTAGACCAGACTGGCCTTAAACTCAGAGATCCTCCTGACTCTGCCTCCATGCCTAGCCCAACTTCTTACTTTTATGAAGATCCAGGAAACAAAAAGACATGATTTTGAACTTAGGGTTAGGAAGAATTCACTGCAGATCTCCCACCCTTTAACTGTGAGAAAATATTAAACAACATGAAGTTTCCAAATTAAGATGCAGGTGTTCATAGGCGCTGGGAATAAAGCATCTGGCTGATAGTGAAAGAAACAAATAAAAGAATACCCTTTCTGTTTAATGGCATTCTGATCTACTACCAACATCTCATTTATGGCTTAATCTCCTAAGTTCTACGGAGAATGACAGCTGCTCCTTAATTCGTCCTGCCCAACCTTTTCTCTGCATATACTTTGTAAAAATGTCCCTATTCAGCCCATACTGACTCTTTATGTTCACTGTCTTACCACTCTGAAACCAAGCTTGATTCCCAGCACCCACATCAGCACCTCACAACCACCTGTGACTCAAGCTCCACCAGGCCTTGGGCCTCCACCTGCACTCATGGGCACAATCCCAAACAAGCACACATCACATGACTAAAATAAATAAACTGAAATAAAACTGACTAAAAATCAGCAATTGTTAACTCAATTTTATTTTACTTTCACTCAGTTATCAACCCTATGTCATTAGCCTGGTGTACCTGGTTGTTACAGAGACAAGCGAGGCTTCATGCTGATAAGCTTGTGCAGGGGATGATCTCTCCTTTGCCTCAGAGAAAGCGACACTCCTTTCCTATTTCCTATTACCTTGAGGGAGAGTAGAAGGACAGTTATGGTGACGGGAAGGAACGCTGGGAGAGAAAAAGAGATTTTTATCCTAGGGTCCAATCTGCTCTTTGTTCTGTTGAAAGATGAAAAGCTTCAGATGCCACTGAAGCCCAAATGGCCTGAGGACAGTATGTGTTTCCAAAAGGCCTCCAGGCAAAAAAAAGGACACTAAGTTTCATTTACTTAGGACCAGATGATACATTCCTAAAGACACCTCCCCAAGAGATTAAATCTGATGGTTCATCTTCAAAAATCAAAGCCTCTAGTCAGCTTTAGCTCCAGCTGCAGATGGACAAAAACAACAGACAATAGATCCCTGCTGGTGTCTGCTACCTATCCTACCCTTTCCACCCCACAAAAAAAAAAAAACAAGCTGAAATATTCAGAGTAGAAAATGACTAACAGCCAACTTTCCCTAACAGCAACCTGTATACATAACAAGGTCATGCACCTAATAGCTTTAGAATAAACAGGAAGTGAAATGTGGAGATGAAACCACAGGAGGCTTTTGTTGAGAAACAGCAGAATGAAAGTGGAAGTGGGAAGGACAGGGTCCCATATAACTGGGTCCTCCTGATTACTTAGCCAATTAAGCAAAAGGAACTTCTTTTAATTTTCTGGGAACCTCAACTTACATCACACATTCCTGTAACCCAGGCCTCGGGAAGGAGAAACAGGAGGGTCACCGTCAAGTCTGAGGCTAGCCTGGTCCACTTAAGTGTACTTCACTTTGGCTTACACTTCTGCTTGATTCTCTAACCAACCACGGTGAGGAACCTGAAATACCAGCGCGGTCGGAGAGGCAGAGGCAGGCGCATCTCTCTGATTGAGGCCAGCTTCGTCTACAAAGCGAGTCCAGGACAGCCAGGGTTACACAGAGAAACCCTGTCTCAAAAAAACAAACAAACAAGCAAACAAACAAACAAACAAAAAAACAAAACCAACGAAGCAGAACAATAGCCCCCACCAGCCCCAGGCTCACGGCAGCCGGCTCCATCGCCGCCCTCAGCAAGCCCCACTCTCAGCCGCCTCGGCCACCACTGGGCAGCACCCTGCGCCGCCGCCACTCACCTCGCGGTGCACGCGGGGCGCGACTTCCGCCCACGGGCGCTCGGAATGCGCCAGTGTTCAGAATGCAAACTCCCACGGCGTCCTGGTAACGATAACAACAACTAACACGTGAAGCTCTAAACGGAAACCGACGCTCCAGGACCCTTCTGGGTAAAATGAACTTCCACTCAGCCTTTGTTTTTCCGGCGGAAGTCGGTACTGCGCATGGCCACTGTTGCTGGCAAAGCTACGGAAGTGGTGTTGCGCGCGCCTGCCACCGCTCGGCAGCGCTCTCTTTGCCAGCAGTTATAATGGCTGCCCGCCCCCACCCCACCACCTATTGTCAGGGCCACATCCATATTTCAGGTATGCGGACGTCGCCTTTAAGAGTGCTTCACTTCCGAACATCCACGTGGGGTGTCACAGACTGAAGGTCTGAAGCTGTCTCACACGGTCAGGGGGTTTATTTTCTGCGTGGGTGCACACGCATTTAAGAGACAGGTATAGTGCGTATACTTAAATTTTTCCGTATTTTCTCGTGGATCTAAGGCTGTTTTTTACTTCTGGTTTTCTAAACCGCGAAAACTAGGAAGGGTTATTAGGAAATGGGACGTGCTCAAAATTAACCTGTAAGCCCCACCTACCCAGGGACCTGGAATGCTGGGAAGTGTGGTTCTCGGAAAATATCAAGGCCCTATAGGTTTGTGCCTACCGGCTCCTGCAACACGTGCTTGAGGCCATTCTCGGGGGGAAACTGTTGGGAATTGTGACCAAAGTCCATGTTTTGGTCAGTATTTAATATTTAATAAAGCTTCCTTTAACTTTGGCCCAAGATGGTGGAGTTTGTTTTTTTCTGCGGCGAGTCTCGGTATTAACACATTCTGGAAACGTGTCATGGTTCCCTGAGGAAAAAGATCTGTTTTTACTTAGAAGTAGAACTTTAAAACAAACAGCAACAAAAACCAGTGCCTAATGAAGCAGTGTAGAGCAGGCCGTTGAGGAGAACGAATGGGGAGAGGTCACCCAAACAGTGAAAATACCCAGAACAGTAGAATAAATGTTGATATTCCTAATGAGAAATATGATATAAACTGAGATATGGTGAATGTCTCCAAAGCTAACCTACAAGCCCTGGCTGGGCTGGACTATTTAGTGGATCTTCTGCCCTGTCCTCCACGAGTTGGGATTATAGGCATGGGCCACCACGCCCAATTCTAGATAGGGTCTTGTCCTCTTGTTCTTCCTTCTGAGAACAGACCACATGAGCGTGAGCAGAGCTTTAGGGCCAGAGGGCAGCTTCTGTAGTTGTGTTAAGAGTAGGCTTGGAGCTCAGTCTGTCCAAGCCTAAGCAGAGTCAGGATTGGCAGAAGGTGGGCCTGTACGGTGTGTTTGTACAAGTAGCTGTGGGCGCCAGCCACACCTCCCAGTCATTTGTTGGCAGTTTGTCCTGAATTGCGTTTGGATGGGAGTAAGGTGAAGGGTATTTGTCCCCTAGCACTTATAGGGTGTCCTGGCTGGGAAAGGGTTAACTGGAGAGCACTATTCAATAGAGGGGAACTGATCATCCGTGCCACATGACCCCTGCAATATGACTGCTTCAGGGCCTATTGCTCATGCTCTGAACTAAGCACAATAAACTCATTGGTTCCCCAGGGTGAAGTACCGTTTGTCACTGGGATCAGAGAAGTAACTTTCCCCAGGAGAAAAAATTTTACAACACAAGTCTTAAGCAATTTTTTATAATGTGTATTTATTTATTTCAGTATTTATTTATTTACTTATTTGTTCTTTATTTTGGTTTTTTCAGACCGGTTTTCTCCGTGTAGCCTTGACTGTCCTGGACTTGCTTTGTAGACCAGGGTGGCCTACAAACTACAGAGATACCTCACTTAGTGCTGGGATTACAGGCGTGAGCAAGGGATTACTGCGCCTGGCAAGTCTTACACTATTACAGAGAGCTTTATCTCAAAACGCTACTTGGTGTTTACTCATGCACAGAAATTGACAGGCCTTAAAATGTCCTCCAGAATAGAAATGCTGTGTGCTTCTTCCAAGCTCGTCATTGCATTTCCCTGTTCATAGTCATTTAAGCAGTATTAAAAATAGCTCTATTAAAAAAATCTATGAGCTATAGTATAATTAGGTCTCTCTCTCTCTCTCTCGTTCTCTCTCTTTCAAGAAGTGGTCTTTCTATGTAGCCGTGGTTGTCATCAGAGAGGCTTCACCCAGCAACTGATGGAAACAGATACAGAGACCTGTAGTGGAAATTTTAGTTATGTTATATAAGCATGTTTTTGTTGTAATCCCAAGTGTGGGATTTGGGAATGCTTTTAGTTTATCCACAGCTGATAACAGCCTCAGGAGAGATAGCATGATCTTAGCCAGTTAAGAAGAGCCTCCCGAGAGGACACGTGACCTTGGTCTTCTGGAGACTGCTTCATAGGGCAGGGAGGGGAGGTTTTTGCCAACTGAAAAATATCCCGGTGCAGTCAGAGATAAATAGGAGCGAACACACACACACACACACACAGAGAGAGAGAGAGAGAAAAAGAGAGATCTTCACTCCTAGAGAGAAACACTTTGAAGAACACTTCAAGGAGGCAGCTGCTGATCTGTGCTGCTGCTGCTGTTTGCTATTTTGCTTGACTGTTGGAATCCTGACAATGAAGAATGGAATTGCCCCAAGGAACTAAGTCTAAAAAGGTCTACATTCTCTGTCTCCTATCTAGGGGTCAGGGGTTTGAAGCGAGGTAGAGGCATTTATGAACCACAAATAAAGTAGGTTTAAAAAATCAAAGCCTACAGAGACCCACAAACAAATATTAGGTGGAGCCCTGCAGAAGAGGGAGAGGAAGGACTGTAGGAGGCAAAGGGGTCCAGGGCACCACCAGAAAATCCACAGAATCAACTAACCTTGGCTCACAGGGGCTCACAGAGGCTGAACTGACAACCAGGGAGCCTGCATGGGGCTGACCTAGGCCCTCTGTATCTATGTTGCAGCTGTGCAGCTTGGTCTTGTAGGGCTTTGGGACCCTTTTCCTCCTACTGGGTTGCCTTACCCAGCTTAGTCTTACTGCAACTTGATATGCCATGTTTGGTTAATATCCAGGGGAGGCCTGTCCTTTTCTGAAGAGAAACAGAGGAGTGGATGGGTACAGAGGAGAGGTGGGAGGAGGGACTGAAAGGAGAGGAAAGAGGGAGGGAAATTGCAGTCTGGATGTAATGCATGAGAGAAAAATAATTTATTTGTAAAAGAACAGAGAAAACAGTAATAATGCAGGCCCACATTTAAGGGAAATAAAGCAAGATCCAACACACATACACATAACACACACATGTTCGGGAGCATACACACACGCATGTACACCAAAGAGCATTCCAAATTCAGGGGTAATATATCTGGGATAAAAGCAGAGTACTACAGGGACACAAAATGATCAAACTACAAAAAGGAATGTCCAAGGGAAAACTCAGTCAGATAAGAGATTTAGGAGATGCTCTAGCTAAAACTGTGTGTCAGGACAAAGAAATAACCCTTTCACATATTATGCCAGCAATTATTAACCAACTGGACTCATTTCTGGTGTTGACACAGATGATGTTAGTAGAAGCCTGTGCGCAATTGTGAACATTTGTACGGACCAGCGGGAGGACGGGGCTGAGTTAGTCAGCTTAGGTATATTTACCAGCATCATGGGGTTGCTGTGACTTAGTGTCCGCCTGGTGGGAAGCTTACCCTGTCTCCATGCGTGCTTAATGCAGTGCAGGACTTACAGAGAAAACCAAGAGCAGGAAACCCTGTGGGTGCCCACTCTTGAGGGATGGGTACGTGAGGCACCCTACTGATGCCTCTCAGTTATCCACCTCCACAGGGTAACAGTCACTCACCTTGACACTGACACCTCTGATAAGGGACAGCCTCCCTAAACTGTGCCTCCTTTTTTTCTTGTACCCTGAAGCTTTTTTCTTTTTCTTTTTTGGTTTTTCGAGAAAGGCTTTCTCTGTGGAGCCCTACTTGTTCTGTCACCCAGGCCAGCCTCCAACTCACCAGAGATTCATCTGCCTCTGCTTCCCAAGGGCTGGGATTAAAGGCGTGTGCCACCACCAATCTAGCTGAAGCTGAATTCTTGGCTGGGGCTGGAATACCCTGTGAATTGAAAGAACAGACTTGCATGCATCTTCTCAGTTGTACAGGGTACCCAATAAACTTTGAGCAGAACGACTGCAAAACTTTTTTTTTGTACTGGACACAAAGTATCAATTGGAAGTGCCCAAAAGGAATGGCCCCTCATAATAAAACAGATTTTAAAAAATCATGCTTTTGATATCCCACAATAGGAAACAAGGCCCATCCTGCATCCCCAGGCCGGCTGTGCTCACCCACTGACAAGAGGTGGCTGTAGATCTCCAGCATCACCTCCTGATACAGGTGTCTCTGGGCAGGGTCCAGGTGCTGCCACTCCTCCTGGCTGAAGTCCAAAGTTACACGGTTAAATGATACCAATCTTTGTAAGAATGTTCCAGCTTCTGGGCTGGAGATGGCTCAGAGGTTAAGAGCACTGACTGCTGTAAAACTATCTGAGCTAGCGATCTACCTGTTGATAGACTTGGGTCAGGTACCATTGTCCCAGATGCCAGGGAGTTTCCTTTTGACCTAACACTCTAGCCTTTTGTGGAGATTAAGAATGACATTCTCTCTTCTGCATCTAAAAAAAGGTAAATGGTATTCAAGACACCAGTGTGGAGAGCTGCTTGTTTGTCAAGCTGCTTTGTTCTTTATTGAAAAACATGTTTTCACCCTGGCCTTCGCCTTGAGACAGAGATAAGAGGAAGTTTCACCAAGTTCCTTAAAACTTGTTTGTGTGACTGTGGACCATATCTGCTATAGGACAAGTTTGGCAGTTCCATGAACTTCTTTCTTATATTGGTGTGACTTTGTTTTTGCTTTGCCTATAAAAAAGGAAGCGTGGAGTAAACTCACGCTGCAGTCTTACTGGCAGCCGATCCTGTGTGTAGTGTGACTTGCTTTAATTATTACAATCCTCACTCCCCACTCAGGAACTGTTCGACTCGGCCGGTGGGCTCCAGCACACCGGTTACAATTTCCCGCTAGCTTTCTTCAGGAGAAGGTCAATAAAGCACAAGTTCACCAACAAATGTAGAGTTCTGAGCCTCCATTAATTGTCTTCCTTCAGAAACGGCCAAGACCACACCCATACCATAACGGCACTGAAGCCACCATCAAAGTACTTCACTATTGTCAGTCAGGAAGGCTTCAGAATGTCGAAGTGTAAAAGTCTGACATTGGCAGGGGAATTACTTTCTACTGTGTGTAAAAGAGGTGATGACACTGTAGACTATGAAGATTTCATTCTCTTGGTATTTTTCCATTGACTTCAAAGGTTTCTTATTTGCTTTTTTTTTTTTTTTTAATTGAAAACTAGACAGGGCTACTAGGAAAAGTGAAGACCTAAGAATCATTGAAGTGAGGGTCTCAGATGAACCTTTTCATATGTGATACTTCCTGAAAACATTTCGTGGTCTCATAACAAGATGTCAGGGTTTTCTGAAAGAATGTTCAGTACACAGAAACTGTGTAGAGCCACAAGGTAGGTGTGTGTGTGTGTGTGTGTGTGTGTGTGTGTGTGTGTGTAAATGTGTGTGTGCAGGTTTGTCAAAGGCTGAAAAAAATCCAGCCCTTCAGAGTATCTCAACAGACCTAACAGAACATGAGAACAAATAAAGTGAAGATTGGGCGAACACTATAGAGCTTTCTCTGCCTCTGCCACCTAACTGCTGGGGTCACAAGCATGTCTCATCATGAAATGCCTCACAGAGCGTTTTGATATTCCCACTGAAAGAAGACTTAAGGAGTGCTGCTCTTGTGAGAATTTTAATGTCAAAGACACAGCTCCAGAATTCAGGCTCAGACATTTGTCTCTATGTGTCAAAATTATAATTAAACTACGTAAAAGTTAATTTAATGCAAAATTAATTTCTGTTGACCTGCCTGCATATAGTCATCATACAGTCGCCACCTTGGCTTTCCAGAGTCAAGCACTTTCCGTATTTTTACCTTTCTAGTGCTGCAGCTGGCTACTGAGCCACACCAAGTTGTCCACCAAGACAACTGCATGGTCTAGTTTCTGTCCTGTGGCGAGGATAAACACCGTGGTTGAAAGCAACTCGGAGAATGAATTAAACTTGGTTTAATTCAGATTACAGGCTACAGTTTATCACTGAGTGAAGTCAGGGCAGGAACTCAATACTCAGCTAGCTCAGCTTCCCATGCCTAGGGAACTGTGTTACCCACAGTGAGCTGGGCCCTCTACATCAGTAACCAAAGGACAGACCCTCCCCCGGCCAATCTGACCTGGGCAATCCTTCAATTGAGACTCCCTTCTCAGGTGAGTCTAGATTGAGAAGTTGACAAAAAAAAAAAAAAAAAAAAAAACTAGGATAGAACACTTGGCTCCTTGAGTTGATGAACCACAACCAGAAGGTAAAACTGCATATCTCCTCCTCTTTGTTCCCAGTGGAACCGAGGTAAAAAGAGCTGCAGAAGATGTCATGGAAATTTGGATTAAATTTCATTTCCTAGTGGTCTGTATTGACCACATGCATTGACTCACATTCCATCTTGCAAAAATGTTCACTGTTCTTGATAAATCACACTTCCACACCTTCTGACCCTTTGCTCAATAATCTATCTATCTATCTATCTATCTATCTATCTATCTATCTGTCTGTCTGTCTTACTGTTTGACTGTTCTACAAGTATATAGTGTGGAGAGACTATTGTTTGTTTTTCTTTCCTCTCTCCGATCCCTACTCTATGATGTCTGGCTTTGACCCAGCATGGAGGCTTGGAGTATCCTCACCTCAGCTCACCTCTCCTTTCCAAAGGCCTATCATCATGCCTTCCCTGGCTTAGCCTTTCATCAGGCTATGAACCTGTCACTACTGTGTGTGTCCTTCTACAAGTTTTACTATCTCTTCCTTGTCCTAAAAGACCATACTTTGTGATAGACAGTAGCTGAGTGTGCCTCGACATAGTCCTTTTTGGAAAGTGGTAGTGTTTGCTCTTCAAGGGCCTTGACAGCTCCTGACAGGATAAGGGTGAGAAATAGTTTCTCTGTGGTAACTGGGCTTTTCTGATGTTTTCTGACGGACATTTCTGGCTTCCAGGATGAGTACAGTGAAAAAAAGAGCCTCAAACTCAGGAACCCTTCACTTCTGTGATGCTGCTCCTGCTAAGGTCAGGTGAGTAGGCAAGGCCGGGGGGAGGGCAGGAGAACCGCCTCTTATCTCCCCAGAGAGATTAGGATTCAAGGCTGCAACTGGTAGTGCCAATCTCAGTAAACATACAAATGGGTCCGCGTCTCTTCATGCCATGCAGTTTCCTCTGTCCCACCCTTCACTCCTTCAACACTTCATCCGGGGCTAAGGTATACAGGACAGGGACAGAGTACAGCACTCTGGGGGTTATAACCGACAAAGATCGGCAGTGGAAGGCCAATTCTACCTCTTCAGGGAAAAGAACAAAAACTAGCCTCTGCTCATCAAATTATGGAGAATGTACATAGGAGAAAGGCCCTTACGTGACAGATGTGAGAGCCCTGAGGACTGCCAGGACAGAGCTAGAGGGCATTGTGGAGACAGGATACTAGCCTGGCTGGCAGTAGACAGTTGGCTTGAAGCACATACTGAAATTTTTTTTTATATATTAATTACAGGTTATTTACTTTGTATCTCAGCTGTAGCCTCCTCCTCCGCACATACTGAACGTCAAGGCACAACTGTTACAAAGAATAAGGGCTTCTTCACCTTTGTCTTTCTTTCTCAGTGGGACACATAACCCAGCCATGCCAGTATCTTGACCTCTGTACTGTATCTGATAGCCAGAAACTACCTAACCTCCTGGATAGCAGCTACCTTACCTTTCTGGGTCCATAAAAACCACCCATACCCTTCAGTGCTGATGCTCACTATATCTTAGAACTCTTGACATCCAAATTATCTGCCTAGTGACCTCTCCGGGAACCAGTGTACCCACAGACAATTGTTGAGGTCAGAGATTCCTCTGAGTGTGGAGCCAGAACACTGAGTGCCCGAAGTTGTGGGAGAAAGAGGAACCAGTGCTGGGAACTGAAGGTGGCTGTTTCCTGGAGGTGCAGCTGAGGGAACAGAAGGGAGTCCATGTCCTATCCCTCGGCAATTGTGTACTGAGGGGTAGGCAGTGTAACTCCCTCTTACTTTTTTTCCTAAAGCTGGAAATTCTCTCTCCTCCAAGATGCTGTACATAATCTACAAAGGAGCAGGGAGCCTCCTCACCCTCCTTAAACCTTGGAGACACTATAAACTTGAGTCACACCCAGTATCATCTGCAGACTCATGAGCTGCCAGGTCACTTGTCTTCTTCTGTCACTCCCCTGGATGACTATCACCTAAGGCACAAAGCAAATTTCATATATAAAAACTGTTATGTTTCATGCTCCTCTGATTCATCTGAGTCAGTCTCCAGTCTCAGATCTTTATTTGCTCAAGTTTATGGGACTGTTCCGGGAAACGGAACCACACGGGCAATATTCAGAAGACAGAGTAGTGATCCCAGAGTACCTTGCTCAGTTTCTCTCCCAGAAACGACCCATCTCCATAGAGCATACCTTAATCCTGGGTTTGTTCGCTGGAGTGTCAAGGGTTAGCTGGATGCCAGCAGCACAGATGGCACCAATTCTCTGGAAATCTTGTATTGATGGGCAGCCAAAACTGATTTCTTTTTGCTGTAGAAATCTTGTATTTGTATTATGTGTGTATGTCTTTTAGACCAGTTCCTAAATGCAAAATGTAGCTGGATCATGTCATTCTAATTCTGAGAATCATGGTCATGTCCTTTATGATGGGTAGACAACTCTTGATGGATATCAAACATTAAGTTTCTACCTACTGAAGGCAGGACAAAGCACTTTGGTTTTGTTCTGGTGATGAATTATGAGACACAAATGTTAAGTATAAAAAGTGAGACATTCCTGTTTCTGTAATTGAGACTGGGTGACATCTGAGCTGATGATATACATAAATCCAAATCCTGACATTAGTTAGCAGTTGACTTCAGCCTTATCTACTTCTACAGGAAAACCAGATCCCTAGCAGATGAAATTGTGGTGGCCATAAAGATGTTTCTTGAGCTCTGCCTCATCTTCCATATTTAATGCTCCTCTAAGATGTTTTGGAGAAGGCAAAGCTGGGTCCTGGGTTCTGAGGGGACTCCAACACAAGTGAGTTCTCAGCCCTGCCCTCAGCAAGTTGCTCTTCTGATAGGGAGGTTATAGACAGACACATCCATGATGGGTTAGAGGAGCTGGGCGGGAGGGGGGAATAGCTGAGCCTGTTGTTACTTAGGGTGGTGCTCAGATCCAGAACAAATGTTATGGGATGCTTTCATGCCACGTCGTGGAGACATGAGCAGACTTGGTCATAAAATAGCGCTGAACTAGTGTCACAGCATAGCCTATGCATGATGGATGCCCCAGTACCACAACCCAGCATGGCTGATAGTCAATTCCCACACTACACATCACAATTCATGTTGCTCACTAGGAAAGTGTTTGGGGGCTCGGTGGAAAACAAGCTGGACATACACTGAAAGCAACTGCCAGTTTCCCACCGCTGCACCCAGTACCCTGGGCTGACCTTCACTCTGGCCTCAGCCCTGTGATGTCTTCAAGGCCAGTAAAACAAGGCTGGCTACAGGTCTCACAGGGCGATGGTCAACACCGAGTTGTATGCAATAGGAAGAATGAACGTCCGTGTGATTTTCCAGGATGTAGCAGCACACGTATCCCGGTGTCATTTCTGGGTGCAATGGTACTTGTAGGTGTATCCCTCTAACCAAAGTATCATCAATGACACCTACCTCCTTTATCCACCTCCTAAAAAAAGGCAGGCTAAAAATGAGAGAACTACCCTTGCTCGGCACTGCAATGCCTAATGCAATCTGAGCTAGGCCGAACCTGTGGACATCAGTGAGGAGGGTCTTCCCCACTGCCCCATCATCTCACCCTAAATAGTAAGCTTGCAGGTGGGTCTCTACTTCTAACCACCTGTCCAACTCAGGGACTTGGCAAAGCCCCTGAGAAATACAGCAGCCCCTGGAAGCACAGGGGTGTAGGCATGGCTGGTGCAGACAAGGGAGAAATATTCTGGTCACTTGTTGCTCCAACAACAAAGGAAGGTAGATCTTAATGTTCCAGCGTTGCTGTTACCTTTCAGGGTTTACATTAAGTCGGGGATTTGGGGAGGATCATCTGAGTGGTTGTGGTATGGTTTCCCATACAGCATTTGAGATGTAACTGGAGTACCAACCAAAGGAATAACATCCTGGATCAATCCTCATGTCCTTCATGTCCATCTCTGGGCCTCTCGACGTCGGCTCAACTGGGTTTTCTTATAGTATACTGGCCTCAACATGACTTGAATTACTAAATGGCAGGGGAAGGCTCCAAGGATAAGCATTTGGATAAACAATGCAGATGCTCCACAGCTTTCAGTGTGGCTTCAAACAGCGTTACTTCCATTATATTGCACCCACCGAAACAGAATAAGATCCCATTGCGCTTGGAGATTGTAGGAACACAGCCTCATCTTTCAACAGGGTAGTCAGATTTACACTTATGTACATGTTGGATGGGGGACATTATAAAAATACCATCTGGCCAAGGTAGTGCACACCCTTGTCATCCCAGCACTTGGGAGGTGGAAGCAGACGATTCAAAATTTCATGACCATCCTCTGCTCTACAGCAAATTAGAATCTAATGTAGCCTCAATGACATGAGACTCAGTTTCAAAGAAAGAAACAAACACAACTGAAATAAACACACAGGAAATACATGGTCTGATCCAAGAAGTAATATTCATGTCTAGAGGGCCTCAATGAGAGAAAAATGAGGGATACAGGTTTGAGAACTACAAGGGGCAGACACCTGGTAGGCTAGGGTCATTGCTTCATGGGAAGAATAGCAATATGGGATTAGCTTAGCGAAAGAGGAGTTAAAAATATGGGAACCAGAGTGAGGACAAGGGTGCACAGAAAATTCAGGAGCAGTGGATGAGAAAAGAATGACTAAAAAGGGGAGTGAGATGTAACAGGAGAAGCAGGAAGGTGGGCAGGAGTATCTGGGTACCCCAGAGCCTGCTACTGGTTTTCCTAGATTGCTTTAGAATAGGTGGCAAAACAACAGAAACTTATTTTCTCACCATGTTTGAGACCAGAGTGTGGAAATCTCAGTACTGGCCGAGAGACAGATCATTTTGGAAACTCCCAAGAAAGAAAGCATCCTGTTAACTTTTCTAGCTTCTGCTGCTGACGGTCAACAGTCCATGGTTTGGAGCTCTCACTGACATCTCTGCCTCTAGGTCCTGTCTTTCAAAATTGTTGGCTTTGTCACAAGAATGTCTGCATACTAAGTCACTTCTATAGTAAAGCCATTTCCACAAGGTCACTTTGAGGTTCTGGAGGGACATAAATCATGGAGAAGCATTACTCACACCAGCACAAACGAGCTGTGGAGATTCTGGCAGGCGTTTGTGAACGTTCTGGGTTTCTGTCTCTCAAAAATGGCACCCTGAAGGTGATGATCTCCAGAAACCTGAAACTGGACATGGTGGTGGAGAATACAATGAAAGGCTAGGAAATCAAAACTAGCTACACTGTCTGCTGGCCATCATGGTATGGATAAGGCCAGCAACTACATCCTTTCCTTGACAGAAACGAGGAAAGTATTGTGAAATTTGAGGCCAGACTGGTCTACACAGTGAGTTCCAGGACAGCCTGAGCTACACAGTGAGACCCTGTCTCAAATTAAAAAACAAAACAAAACAAAAAAACAGTATCCCACAATAAACAGAGAAACCACTGATGTAATTTCCAAGAAACTCTTCTATAAATACTATAGAAACCATTGGACCATTAACTACAGAAGGATTACCTTAAAACTTCTTCAACATGCAAGGAAACTGACAGTCCATAAAATGCCTACAGGCATTTGTGCTTCTCCCTGCAAGTTCATTAATATTTCTCTCCCATATAATTATGTGTATGTTTAAATAAGCAGTGCATAGTTTTTAACTATGAACCATGGCTTGTGTGGTTAGGTTTGTGTACGTACCATGGGCAGATACCTGTGTGCGCTTGTGGTGTCCAGAAAACAAAGAATTTACCAACGGAGTATGATATCCCCAGTCCTATTTAGGTCTGTAATAAAATATTTTTCATGAAAATCAAGAATATTTTGATGATGGATATGGATGAGGACCTGGTTCCACAATAAATTCTTTTATATGATCAGATGAGTGCCTGGTGAGAGCACTGGAGTCTACTAAAACATTATGATCTTGAAGGACTTTCTGCATCCACAACACATTCCCAGGATGGTGCACCCAGAGTTCCTGAACAATTTCCCAAAGCGTCAGTAATGTGAGTATGTGACCTTGACTACACACCTTCAGCGACACACAACAACAACAGACAGATTTCCCAAAGACAGATTATCACTAGAGGCTCTTTGCACCGCGAGTCTGCTCAGAGGATGTCACTTGTGAATTCTGCAGGAAGCCCTTCTCACCTTTGTTTCGCACAAAAGCTTTCTCCCTACTGTGGATTTTACAATGTCTGTAGAAAGAAGACTTATCACTGAAGGCCTTCCCACACTCAGCGCACATATACGGTTTCTCGCCTGTGTGAATTCGTTGGTGCTCTTTGAGATTGGCTTTAGAAGCCATGGCTTTGCCACACTCGCTGCATATGTAAGGCTTCTCTCCCGTGTGAGTTCTCTGATGTGTGCTGAGAACCGACCTGTCGTTGAAAGACTTCCCACACTCGGAACACACGTAGGGCTTCTCCCCGGTGTGAATTCGATGGTGCACTTTCAGGTGGGACGCCCGCCGGAAGGACTTCCCGCAGTCTGAGCACTTGTAAGGCTTCTCCCCGGTGTGGGTCTTCTGGTGCATCTGCAGGTGGCAGTTTCTCCGGAAGGACTTCCCGCAGTCGCCACACTTGAAAGGCCTCTCCCCGGTGTGGGTGCGCTGGTGCACGTGCAGGTGTGACTTCACCCTGTATGACTTCCCGCACTCGTGGCACTTGTAGGGCTTCTCCCCCGTGTGAAGGCGACAGTGCTTCTTCAGGTCCGAGGCGTAGAGGAACAGCTTTCCGCAGTCACTGCACGGGTAGCACTTCTCCCCACTGTGAATTCTCTGGTGTGTGCTGAGGACTGACTTTTGGCTGAAGGCCATCCCACAGTCCGAACACACAAAGGATCTACCGTCGGTGTGAATTTCATGATGTACCTTCAACTGGGATATTTTCCTGAATGATTCCCCACAGTCAAAGCATTTGTAAGCTCCTTCACTGGTGTGAATTCGATGGTGTGCAAGCAGGTTAGATTTAATACTGAATGATTTCCCACAGTCAGGGCACTCATAAGGCTTTTCTCCTGTGTGAAATCGACGGTGCTTTGTCAGATCTGATGCACAAACGAACATTTTCCCACAGTCATTGCATGTGTAAGGCTTCTCCCCAGTGTGAATTCTCTGATGTATGGTGAGGACTGACTTTTGGCTGAAGGCCTTCCCACAGTCAGAACACGCGTAAGGTTTCTCCCCAGTGTGTGTTCGAAGGTGCACCTTTAGGTGGTATGTGTAACTGAATGACTTCCCACACACATGGCATTCATAAGGTTTCTCCAATATGTGGATTCCATGGTGCACCTGCAGGCTGGCCGCACCCATGAGAGATTTTGCACAGTCAGGACACTGATAAGGAGTCTCTATGCTGTGAGTTTCTGAATGGGAGGTCAATTTAGACTTGTGGAGAAAGGTTTTCCCGCAAGTGTGACAGATAAAAGATGGTTCCATGTTGTTAGTTATTTGCTGTTGACAGAAAGCTGACTCACCAGCGAGGACCTTCCCACATCCAGCATATTCAACTGGTTTGTCTTGAAAATTAATTTCATGCTCCATAAGTGGTGGATGAGGAGAAAGAAGGTTTCCAAACTGACTCGCATTGTATGATTTCTCACTTTGGTGAGGAATTGCACACACACCATGAAAAGAGCCTTGTGTAAAAAACTGGTGAGGTCCAAGAACATCACCAAGCTGCCTTGTGGCACTGCTTTGACTGTCACAATTTGCTCCGAGGTTAGGCTTCAAACTTTTTGCAAACGAGAAACCTTTTGGAGGTACGTATTGCGAAGAAATGAGGTGGGGCCCCAAAAGAATCGGTTCTCCGGTTTCTTCATAGTCACAAGCACTATCTACAGTTAGGGTTTTCTGGCTTCGGAAAGCACCAGGACTTATGGGCAGTATTTGGCTTTGTGGATCTGTCTTTGTAGTAGTATCACCATCCTGCCACAGTTTCTCCAAAATGAAACAATATGCACCGTGTCTTGTGATTTCACTGGCTGCATCATTTAGAAACGAAGCTTTCACACAAATTTGTTGCTGTGGTGTGTCAAGCTGCAGTTCACCTGTAGAGAAGAGGAAGGAGCAGGCACAATGAACAGGATGGAGGAGGACTCTCGCAGAGCCGAACACTGAGAAAGCTGAGTCTGGTGGTAGCTATGCTCATCCTGTGAGACAACGGTAAGAGGTCCTATATAGTCAGGTGGTGGTGCACGCCTTTAATCCCAACACTGGAGGCAGAGGCAGGTGGATCTCTGTGAGTTCCAGGCCAGCCTGGTCTTCAAAGTTGGTCCAGGACAGTCAGAGCCACACAGAAAAACCCTGTCTCCAAAAACAACAACAAAAAGTCCTCTGTACCCCTTATTACACACCAAACTTCATCTATACAGCACCGCTGTGTGCTTGGCAACTTTCTATGCATTGGACACATGAACTCAACAAAATAGCCACATCTGTTCTCCCTGTTTTATATGCAAGAAACTGGGAGCTACGGTTAGAAGCCAAAATCACTCAGCTCATTTGTGGCGATGATTTGGTTTGGGCAAAGGCAAGCAGCTCAATGAATAAGAGACCTAGCCATACAGAGGTAGTACACAGGCAGGGCTCCACTAAGGCTGTGATCCGGCATTGCTGGTGGGCAGCTAAGAGCTAGAGACTGCCAAGAGGGTGTCATTAGCTCTGGAGAAATGCACATTCACGTCCTTTGCCCTTTTTCTCATCTGCCTTTGTTTACAGTTCTTTCTTTACTGTGGTAGTGAGGATCAAAGCAGAGTCTTACTTGTTAGGCAAGTATCCCACCCTGAGAGAGAAACTACTCTCAAATCATTATTCTTTATTTTAAACCACCCCACCCCATGCGTGCAGAGGAGGTGGGGTGGGAGAGGGTTCAGTGGTGAAGAACACTGGTTGCAAACCTAGTGCAATGGAAGCTCCCTGGAATTTGTAAGGGTGACCCCAGGAAAGACTCCTAGCAATGGGGATACAGGACCTGAAGCAGTTTATTTTTTTGTTTTTTTGTTTTTTTAAATAACCAAGCAAGGCTTCAGTGGAGACTTTCACTAATACAGCTACAAAATCGTCCATCTACAATTTGTACTGCCTGCAAGATGTACTGGGCGGAGTGTGGTGCCAGCCAATGATTGGTCCACCTTGTACCATTATCATGCCGCAAAAGGGAACCCACTCCTGACCCTGCTTGGAGGGCCAGGAACCAGAGGCCGGATAGTCCAAAGACCCAGGATAGAACCAAATGCAACTGGCAAAAACCAACCAAACAAACAAACAAAAAACATTAAAATAATCCCTAATGATATTCTGCTCTACTGGTAGACTGGAGCCCGGCATAACTGTCAGCAGAGAGCCTACAGCCAAACATTAGGCAGAGCTTGGGGAAACGTGCAGAAGAAGGGGAGGAAGGAAGGATCGTAAGAGCCAAAGGGGTGAAGGTCACTACAAGAACATGGCCTACAGAATCAACTAACCAGGGCTCGTAGGGGCTCACAGAGCCTGAACCAACAGTCAGGGAGCCTGCATGGGTCTCACACCTTTGACTGCTTTTAGGACCCTTTTCCTTCTTGTAAAGCCTCGAGATGAGGGTATGTGTCTAGTCTCACTGTAACTTGTTATGCCATGTTTGGTTGATGTTTCTGGGAAGCCTGCTCTTCTCTGAAGGGAAATGGAGGAGGAGTGAATCAGGAGGGTGGTGGACTTGGGGGAAGGGATTGGGAGACGAGAAGGGAGGGGAAACTGCGAGGGTGTGGAATATGTGAGAGAAGAATAAATTAAAACGAACCAAACACTTGTTGCTCTTGCACAACAAGTTTGGCTCCCAGCACCCACATGTACATATATGTATGTGTATGTACTTGCATGTGTTGCATATGCCATTGCATGTATGTGGAAGTCCAAGGGCAACTTGCGTGAGTCAGTTTTTTATCATGTAGGCTCCACGAGTCCACCATGTTTGAAAAAGAAGAATAAGGAAAGGAGGCCCATCCTGCATCCCCAGGCCGGCTGTGCTCACCCACTGACAAGAGGTGGCTGTAGATCTCCAGCATCACCTCCTGGTACAGGCGTCTCTGGGCAGGGTCCAGGTGCTGCCACTCCTCCTGGCTGAAGTCCACCGTCACATCCTCAAAGGTCACCAATCTCTGTAACAACATATTCACTGTGGATTAACATTGATAAATAGGACTTGTGTTGTCAGTGATCCCCACTCCGCAGACTAGGCTTCACGCTTTCCATAAAATGCCTGTTTCCCATTGTATTTTGGGACACACATATATACATACAAAATAACTGGCCACCTATCAAATACTGGCATTCCCTCCAAGGAGGCCATAGACAGATTTTTATTCATTCTCTATGAATGATTAAACAGCATGACAGTTATTAAGCCACATTGTATCTGTCTGTATCTGTGTTGGGTCCCTGGGATTCAATACTATGACTTTGTACTCTCAAAGAAACTCAGACTTGCAAAATAGCAAATATAAGCCCACGTATGGGGCTGAAAAGGAACATTTTTAGAAATCTATACAAAGCAAACTGTTGGGCAGGGCGAGTTAGGCGGCTTCCTGGGAAGGGCTGTCATGCCAATCTGAGTAAAGCAATGTAAACTGGAAAGGAAACGCTTCGCTGGAATGTGGAGAAAGAACTCTGTACCCTAGGAGAGAACTAAAACGAAGGCGGAGGGAAGGGAAAGCCATGGCTTCGGGAGTTGCAGAGCTCTGTGTAGGGGAGGCAGCAACAACCCACAATGCCTGGAAACTGGCTGTCATCCAAGTCCCAAGGAGGAAGTGGAAGTCTGGGGCAAGCCTGGGGTGGGTAAAAAGCTTATGGGCTTTTCAGTTTTGAGTCAGGGATTGTCACGTAAGTAATTAACTGCAGGGAAATGAAAAGACCTTCAACTTTAAAAGGCTGGGCTTCCTGCATCCAACTTGTGTCCCTCTAAGATGTGATGGTGGAAGGTTTGCCTTCAGCAGCACTGGAGACACAAATACAGCCTGAAGGGCAGTTAATACTGCAGCACCGTCTTCATCGACAGTGACTGCGAAAGCACGCAAGAACAGCACTGCCAGGTCTGTATGAAGTGGGATTCTGGGATGATGACGCCTGAACCCAGTGATGACCTTAACATCACAAGACAGAGATGACCAGCATGATGGAAGACCGACCCCGGCAGGGCGCAATAGTGCAGGCATGTCACCACTGTCAAGTGTTCTGGCAAAAATAAAAGCGGAGTGTGATCATTCTCCAGAGCAGAGATCTCCAATGCAATGCAACAGAGACCACAAAGTCCTTCCGATGAAACCATCTTCATAGCATACTTAATTCAGACCAACATATCCAAACTATTATTTTAGAGTCCCCCAAGGGGAACGAACCCACCCTGGTACCTCAAGTCACAGCAAGACTAAGTGTATCCCCTCCCACTGAGGCCAAGTGGGAGCCCAGCTACGGGAAAGGGATCCAAAGTCAGGCAACAGTCAGAGACAGCCTCTACCCCCATTGTTAGGGGACCCACAGCACATCTGCTCCGTATGTGTAGGGGGCCTAGGTCCGGCCATGGATGCCCTTTAGTTGGTGGTTCGGTCTCTGTGAGCCCCCAAGGGCCCAGTTTAATTTACTCTGTAGGTCTGTGGGGTCCTTGACCCCTCCAGCTCCCTCTATCCTTCTTCCTACTCTTCCACAAAACTTCCCGAGCTCAACTGTTCTGCCCAGTTCACGAACCCCAAAAGACCAGGAATAAACAGACTCCGCTGTAAATACATGAGGTTCTTTTTATTGTAAATTACAAGCTGCAGCTTGGGCCCACACCCACCCACCGTGGGAATTGAGTGCGTTGTGCCCAGGTTAGTTGGGTGATTTAAAGGTTCTGGTCCCTCCCAGCATGCTCAAGGCAGGGGCGATTCCTGCCTGGCAAGCATCTATTGGTCAAAATGCTACATTTTAAATTGATTGGCTAGAGGAAGGTTCCCAGACCTTAAAGACCTGGTGTCCCTCCCTAGGGGGGATGGGCCAGTTTCCTAGCAACTGTTATCTCTAGTGGGTGAGGAAAGAATGCAGTAAGGCGGTCCTTCCCCTCAGGGTATTACTAGACTTCTCCACCCACCTAGTTCAGGCCTTAATAATAGCTGCTAATTTTTAATCTTTTTGGTCTCTCACAACCTATATTGTTTGGCTGTGGGTCTCTGCATCTGTTTCCATCAGCTGCTGGATGAAGCCCCTCAGAAGACAGTTATGCTAGGCATAATTCTGCAAGCAGAGCACAGTATCATTAATAGTGTTAGGGGTTGACTCTCTCCCACGGGGTGGGTCTCAGTCAGGCCAGTCAACCGTTGACCATTTCCTCAATCTCTGTTCTGTCGAGGGTTGCTCGTTAAACTGCTAGGTTATGTTTTCACCTTGACCTTTACCTTGACAAAGAAAAGAGGAAGTTTTGTCAAATTCCTTAAAAGCCTGTTCCAGATTCCTTAAAAGCTTGTCTGTGTGACCAAGAACCTTAACTGCTTTAGGGAATTAGCTTTAGAATAGGACTTTATCTGCTATAGGGTAGTAGTTTTTGAAATGGAAGTTGGGCGTTCCCAGAAACCTTTTCTTTTTGAATTGATGTGACTTGTCTTTCCTTTACCTATAAAAAAATGAACCCTGGAATAAACCCACACAGCTTCAGTCATTACTGACAGCCCTCTCAAGCCATCCCGTGTGGTAGTGTGATTTGTTTTAATTATTTTCAATCCTCACTCCCCACTCAGGTACTGCTCGACTCTGCACTTCTAGTAGATGAGATAAATTTTGGGTCAAAGGTTTTATGGGTCAGTTGGTGTGTTCCTCCCTCTACTGGAAGTCCCACCTGGTTACAGGAGGTGGCAACTTCAGGCTCCATATCCCCTGCTGCTAGGAGTCAGGTAGGGTCACTCCCATGGACCCCCAGGGGCCTCCCCGGTCCCAGAGGTGCCCCCACCACCAATTTCTGTTCTCTTTCCCTGTCTTCTTCCATAGCTCCCCTCCCCACACACAATCCCCACCCCTGTTACTCTCCCCCCTCCCAGTTTCCTCCCTCCATCCACTCCATATGTCTATTTTATTTCCTCTTCTGAGTGAGATTCAAGCATGCTCCCTAGGGCCCGTGGTTATCCTGTACTTTATGGCTAATATCCACGTATCCGTGAGTACATACCATGTGTGTGTTTCTGGGTCTGAGTTACCTCACTCAGGATGATCTTTTCTAGTTCCATCCACTTGCCTACATATTGATGGGCTGCCTAAATCCTCTCTCACTGAATAATACTGAAAATTCAATATCATATCTCTTAAAAGCGTAAAACTCAGCAGTAGAATCTTTGGTAGAACACCTAATTTTTTTTTTAAAACCACTTTCTAAGGAAAATTTAGCATCCCTTCAATTATTGATGGCTACAACGCATACAGCAGTTAGCAGCAGTGACATCACCACTCTGAGAAATCACAGGTCCTGCAGTGTCACCTTAGGGCGTCTATATGAACAGGCAATGAAGATATATACGGTCCAATGGAGTTTACTGCCAAAGTATCCCAAGGTTTCCTAGAACTCAATAGCCTCAAAGTACAGCTTCAGTTAAGATTCCTTAACTGTAATTTTAGAAGTCACTCATGTTTTTGCCTGGGATCAGGGATGTACAGAACAAACATTCCTGTTTTGTTATACTGCTAAATCTTAATGGACAATTTTTATCCAAGCTATTTTCCCTACTGTAAAAAACAAAACAAAACAAAACAAAAACATTAAAATACCCAACTTTTGAGGAGTCAACGTGTAGCTATAAACTGGGAGAGAAAGTCAAAAGACTCAGGGAGCAGTACACATGTGCGGTACCAAGCCGCTACCTTGGCTTTGTAACATTCCTTCCTGGAGAAAGGGAGAGGTTCAAGAGGCCACTCCATGCTACATAAATGTGTAAGCTGGACACACAGCTGAGGGAAGTATGTAACAGGTGCTGGTGAGGCAGCTGCTTGAGTCCCCCAGGCCCAAGGTTGCACTTCACAAATGCTACCATAATTAACACACACACAAACTTCGGGTTCACTAAGCTAGTGGTGGATGCACCTACTTCTTTGTCTGGCCAGTCCTGTGGGCTGAGCAGAAAGAGGCCTCCCCAGAAAGTCACAGATGGGCAGATAAACCTAACCTAAGAAGCAGCACAAGGAACACGTCAGTGAGAAGATGAGGGAACGCTGGGGTTTCAGCCTTGTGCGTTTCGCTCTTAGCTGGAGAATCGAGGTTGTGTTAGGAACAGGAATCAAATCTGCTGCTTCCAATGTCTACCATCTAGCTATGAAAAGCCCAACCTGGGCCATCTCTCCTCACCTCACAGGATCCGTCCTGCTCCCCTGTTTCCAGTCTCTGGGCCTTCTGGCAGAAAGTCATGTCAGTAGGCATGTCCTCTGTGGTTTCTGCTCTTGGTCTGCCTCTGACTTTCTCAGGATTCTGAAGACACGTGAGCATGTGGAGGATCCAAGGAGAGTTGCAGGACAGAGGCCAGCTTGGTTATGTTGATCAAATTGGCAGTGTGAATGATTCGGCATCCCCCAGAGGTCTGCAAAGACATCAGGGAGCCCTGGAAAGTCAGTGGCCACATTATCACTCACCCAACCATTATCTGACCACAAAGAGCTGAAGGTTCTACCTGAAGGTCATCATGTAGACGCTGCAGAACAGACAAAGCCCAGAAACATCCAACTCTTCCGCCCACCTCTTAACTGTGACAGCGGGAAGCTATTAAGTAAGGTGACATAAAGCTGGGATACAGGTGTTGGGAATTTGGTGCAGCCCTCAGCACCTGCCTGGCAGATTATAAATATGACTTTAAAAAAAAAAAATCAGCTATCTCTGAGCTTATTTTCCAAACAATCTTTTCAGCTGTATGCCAGAGGTGTGACTATACCTGGTGTTTTAAGAGGAGGCAAATGAGACTCCGTGATGTTCCCCAATATGACCTGAGGTCACCAAATGGAAGAGAAGGGGATCAGTATATGTTTGACTTACACAAAAGGACACATTGCCCCAGCTGAAGCTTTTCCTGTTTCTGGACATTGTTCTGACATACCCTGTAGTTGACTACCACAGTTCCCTCCTTGACCAGAAAGTATTCTGGAATGCACAAGGACCCGGCCCTCTGTTCTAAGCCTACCCTTTCCTCCTTTTTATTTTGTTACTATGTAGCACAGGCTGACAGAGAACTCAATACATACTCCAGGATGGCCTTGAGGTCACAGTGATGCCGCCCCATCAGCCTATCAACTAACTGTAGAGATTACAGGCCTGAACATTCCTCTGGCTGACTTCTGTGTGTCTTCTCTGTCTGTAATGACTCACACAGTTGCACCGGATGCAATCACTCAAACCAATGACTTTTAGTGACCTCTAAAGATGGGACACAGGCAGGGTATGGTGGTACACACCTGTAATCCTGGCAACTTGGGGAGGCAGAGGCAGGAAGACCTCTGTGAGTTCGAGACCAACCTGGTCTACAAAGCAAGTCTAAGACAGCCAAGGCTACACAAAGAAACTATGTCTCGAAAAACAAACAAATAACAAACAGAGACTGGGCACAGGACTGCCAGGTTACAAATTGCCTCCCAGTCACTGACATGTACCAGGACCCTGAAATTATGATTACTTTGATAGCCAATAAATTTTTTCCTTAGAGTGTTACTTATTGGTTTCCACGTAACTCCAAATAACTCCCAACACAAGGGTCCATATAAAAGACCCTTTTATTATTTTATATTTTATATTGCATGGATGTTTCTTTCTTTTTTTGAGGTCGGGTCTCATGTAGGCCTGGCTGGCCTTGAACTTATTATTTAACACAGATTGTTTTTGAAATCCCGATAGTCTTGCCTCGCAGTGCAGGAAAAATGTGTTCTCCACCAAGCCTGGCTTGGAAGCAGCATTAAAACAAGCTTCTAGAAGCTACTTTTGTCATTCATTCCTGGTGGCTGGCTACACAGAAACCACAGCTCTCACTTTAAAGGAAATAGGAACAGTTTACTCTAGAGCCAAATAAGTCTTACTATGTGGCCTGGGAGCACAGATACAGGTTATCCAGCTACCATGTTCCAATGCAGTATCACCTTGATGAAACTTTGGAGTAAGAGGACCAAATAAAGCCACAAACGAAAGTGTTTCTAAAGTACATTGGTGAGAGCCAAAAGATAAGCAACAAAATAATCTTATGGTTGGGGGTTATCACAACACGAGAAACTGCATTAAAGTGTCACAGCATTAGGGAGGTTGAGAGCCACTGCCTCGGAGCGTAAAGGTGCTTTCCAACAGACAGAGACCCTGAGTCAAAAAAGGTAGAGAGGGCTTGAGGAAGACTGGACATTGCCCCCTGGCTTCCATGCTCACCTGTATGCATGCGTGTATCCATAGCCAAATAAACCTGCACATGACACAGACACCAAAACAGTAACAACAACAAAACACTGGTGGGACTATTAGGCAGGCAGGCTACAACAAGCGGGAAAATCTCTTCTTACAGGCCTCACATGCTCTCCAGTGACATTCTTGGCCTTTCAGCTGTTGGAAACTAGTGGGCTGTTTAGGGGAAATACACAGATGGGTCGCAGCCACATCTGAGGTCAGACTGGCCTACAAACTCAGTTTCAGGCCAGCCAGGGGTACACAGGAATACCCTGTCAAAAGGAAGGAAAGGGGGGAAGAAATCAGAGGCTGGAGAGGTGGTTCAACGGTTAAGAGCAACTGCTGTTCTTGCAGCTGCCTCAGGTTCAGCACCCACACGCGGCTCACAACCTCTTAACTCCGGAGGGTCAGATGCTCTCTTCTGGCCTCTCTGGGCACCAGGCACACACCTGGTATACCTACATACAAGCAGCCCAACCCTCAAAAACATAAAGTAGATCTTAAAAACTGAAACACAAGCACAAAGCTGCATTTACTAAAATGCATTAGGTACGTTTCCTTACTCTGGCTCTGACTTCCACATGGCTCCGATTCGTAACTGTTTCATTCCCCAGCCCAGCCTTCGATTTGCAGTCATCCTCCAGCCTCAGCCTCTAGCACGCTGAGATCACAGGGCAGGCATGGCCCACCACCTGCAGGACTACCCTGACACGTAAGTCTTGATTTCTAAACCTAAACCTCAAGTCTGTACACCAGAGGCTGACACAGGGCCACGAGGGCACTTAACTCGTCTGCTTAGCGTATCCGATGATCGTCCTCTGCTTTTCTTTCTTTCGGTAATTTTTTTTTTTTTTTAAAGAGGTGTGGATCAGTTGGGAAAAGTAGCTCATTGAAGTTAGAGAAAAAAAAATTTCAAAGATTTACTCTTACTATTAAAAAAAATTTAAATTATATGTGAATGGGTGTTTTGCCTGTCTGTGTGCCTGCACGCCACAAGCCTGCAGTGACTGTGGGCACAGGAGGGAGCAACGGATCCCCTGGCAGTTCCAGGCAGTTCCAAGCCACCATGAATGTGGATGCTGGGAATGCAACGCTGCTGGGCCCACGCTCTGCTTTTCATCCTCACTGGCCTCTTCCATAGGCATACCGCATGAGGCTGGCCCTTGCCTGCTTGGATGCAGAAACCCCACTTCTGCTTCAAAGCCTCCTTACAGCACCATTCTGCTTACCTGGCAACTACCGGTCCTTACCAAATCCACGAGGCAAACCTCTGGCAGGCCTCACACCTGCAATTGTAATTGAATTAGGATTAGTTTGTTTATTTGTTTTTGTTTTGAATCCTTTCTGTTTCAGCTCCAGCTCCACACAGGAAATATAATACAGGGAACATAAATGCCCAGAGCACCTGGTCTCTGGGGTCAGCACCAAGGCTTATGTCTTGGTTTAGGTGACTGAGCATGCCATATTATATATACCTAAATATATCTCCTGGCTTTCATGCAGGCTTTTTCAGTCTTTCTTTCTTTGATTGCTAATACTGCTTAGGCTGACAATGATGGCGGGCACTGTGTCCCCATTGTGCCTAGATCACAAGACCCCAAAAGACCACCAGAAGTCAAGTCCCTGGCAAAACACATGAGGGTTTATTTAATACAAGCTTGAGCATGGGTGGCAAGCAGGAGAGGAATGAGGTGGGGAGGTCTAGGGGAACAAGGTTTTTAAAGGGCAAAACTGCAAGGGGCAGCGGGGGGGGGGGGGGGGGGGAGAAGAGGGGGCTCCAAGCTCTGGTGTTATACGATTGGTTAAGGGAAATGATTTGAAATGATTGGTTTACTTTAGGTGCCAAGTCCATAACTGGTTCTGGCCTGGCCATCTGGGTGGGTTGCCAGGAGACGGTATCTCTTTAAGTGGTTCTGGCCAGGCCATCTGGGCTGGTTTCCTAGCAACTGTATCTCTAGTGGGCAGGAAAAGAATGCAGTAAGGCTGGTTCTTCCCCTGCAGGTGGGTGGACATGTCTCCACCTGGCTGGTCTTCATTTGGGCTTGTGCTTTAAACTTTAACTCAATAACCCCCCCCCCCCCCCCCCCCCAAAAAAAAAAAACAAAAAAAAAACCTAATTTTTAATTCTTTGGTCTTTTACCCCAGTTTGGGCCAAAACATAAATAAATTCATTTCCCGCTTTCTCTTACTCTCTGGAGTGTTTCTCCTCTGGCAGGCCAGTGTCTGAGCCGGGGCCAGGGCTCCAGCTAACAGCTCTCAAACACTGCGGGACCAGAAAGCAGCCGACACCCGCCCCAGCCTCCTTCCGTCCGAGCAGCGCTGCTCGCCTGACTCCTAAGCCAATCGATGCCCGAGCGGGTCACAAGCCACCTCAAGGTCCTCGGCCTGATGCTCCGGGATCCTGCAGCGCACACTCAAGAGTCCTGACCCCAACGTGCTCACACGACAATTTTTACGGACGCCGGTGTGAATCACACAGGACAGCACACAGGGGAGGGGCGAAACACAGGCGCGCAGAACCCGCACGGGCAGCACGAAAACGAACCGATCGATCGGCAAGCCCCTGCAGCCGCCTCAGCCCTCGGCAGCTCGGCGTCCTGTCTCCCAGCTCCGCACTCACCTCACAGCGCACCGCAGAAGCTCTGCACTCCGCACGCCAGGGCCCCGCGACTTCCGCCCACGGACACCCACAATTCCAAGGGTTCGGATTCCAAACACCCACGATGTCCTGGCAACACCAGCCGAAGCGACTACCTGAAGATCTGAGCGGATGTGACCACTGTAGGTCACTTCCGATTTGAATAAAGGTCCCCTCAACCTATTAGCATATCCCCCACTCCCCCAACCCCGCTTTGTGTATGACGCGCATGCGCACCACCCACCGGCGGTAAATCTTGCCAATACTTACTGTGGCTCATCTGGTGGTTTCTGTTTTTTCACAAAGTGCCATGGCTGCACTCACACTCCAAAGACACAAAGGCCACCGTCTGAGTGCCTCAGTTCCACACATCCATGCAAGGGCTGCGGAACGTGACACAATGGAAGCCCAAGGCTGTCTCCCTTTGTCAGATTTACTTACTATTTGTATGTGTATTTCTAAGAGTGTGGCATTTCATCTTCCTAAAAGTACCTTTCTCTGTATTTATTTTATTAGATTTATTTTTGTGTATTCTTGCCTGTACATTGCATTTACAGCACCCTGGACCTCTGCAAGAGCAACAAGTGTTCTTAACCTGTCTCTCCTTTTTTTTAATTTTCACCAGAGCTTAACAGGGTTCTTGGTTTTGAGATGGTCTCACAATGTTGGCCTGACTGGCTTGGAACTGGCCATGGAGATCAGTCTGGACCTGGACTCTCAGATAACCCATGGCCTCTGTCTCCTGAGTACTAGGATTAAAGGTGTGTATCATCACACTAGCCTTTTCTGGTTTTTCAGATGAAAACTATGTGGGGTTATTAGGAAACAGGAATCGAAGCTGTATGGAACATTAAAGGTGAGAACCCGAGATGAACCATCGTGTCCTTCCTACCCAGGGTATCTCACGGTTCCCAGAGTTAGAAACCTGTTCTTACCTACAAGTAAACTTTTTTTCTAAGTTACATAATAGAAACAGTGTAGAACTAGGTGTGGACGATGGAAATAATGGTAAATGGAGAGACCAGTCAAATGGTGAAAGCGCCTAGCACTGTAGTGAATTAATTAGTAGCCCTAATGTAGAATATGAGAATAGAATCAAAGACTGTGAGTTATCTCCAGGTTAAACACATTCTAGCCCTGGATCATCTAGAACAGTGGTTCTCAATGTGAGCTGTGACTCCTTTGACAAACCTTTTGTCTCCAAAAATATTTATATTATGATTCATAACTAGCAAAATTACAGTTATAAAGTAGCAATGAAAATATTATGGTTGGGGTCACCACAACACGAGGAACGGTATTAAAGGGTCATAGCATTAGGAAGGCTGGGAAACGCTGGTCTAGAACTATGTAGACCAGGCTGGCCTTGAACTTATTCTGATCTTGTCTATGCCATTCAAGTACTAGGATTACAGCAATGTGCCCTCATGCCTGGTTCTCAGGTGATCTAGAGCATTGAGAGCAGACTACAGGAGTGATGATTTAGGGTACACAGTTTCATCATCAAAAATAGTTCCAGGAGTCCCAAAAGAGTAGGGCCAACCATTCATCACCACAGGGCAAAATTACAACAAACTCCATGAAAGTTAGTATTATGCAAATGCCAGCAGTCTCTGCTCTTCATTTATCTGCTACTTCTAAGCATATTACTATTGCTAACTGTACCCATTTACTGTATCTCAGGCACAAATGCTTTCCTTCGTTTTATTCTTAGTCAATAAACAATGCCCATCTATCTTGCAGCCTGAACCACAGCAGCAAGGAGATGGACACTTGCCACATGGAGGAGAGCCACTAAGAGAGTCAGAAGCTGAAGCTGCACATACATAAAATCAGAAGTTAGTATCTGTATGAGAGAACACATTGTCACTGTCTTCCTGAGGTACCTCATATTTTCCAGTTTAATGTACATTTTATTTTTACGACCTATAAAATTCTATTGTATTTATGGTAAGTTTCATTATACATCCATCTATATTATAGGTGGACGTCTAGGCTGATTCCATTTCTCTGCTGTTGGGAAGAGTAGTGTTAAACACGGATGTGTCAGTGTCTCTGTGGTGTGATATAGATTCCCAGGCGTATATCCATACATGGTTAGCTGGGTCATGAGGTAGTTCTAGTTTCAGTAATTTTAGAAACCACCACCAAGGCTGCATAGTGAGAACCAGTCTGAAAACCAAAACAAATCAAACAAACCAAACACAACAACAAAAGCTCAGACTGATTTCACTCGAGTTACAATAACCTACATTCCCTCCAACAGTCAATAAAGGCTCCTTTTCTTCACATCCCCAGCAGATTTGCTGTCCGTGGATGATAGCCATTCCAACCAGGATAAGGTGCTGGCTAAGATGTTAAACACTTTAAAAGGATTTGACTGTGTGCCTTGCTCACTTCCTTATCCCATGTCTTTATTGGAATGTTTTTCTTGTTACATTTTTACAGTCTAGGTCTATTTAAACATTAAGCCAGGATTCATAGGAAATGGACCACAGCAGCTTGGGCTCTTTTCTGTTAGTTCTCACAAAGTGTATTTCTTTGGGTGAAACAGGCTGCTGGTCAGTCGAACCCAGTTACCCTTCTCTTTGGCTCCCCCCTTTCTGATTACTTCCCTTCACCCTTTCCAAGTCATTTATCTCAATTTTTTTGTTGCTGTTGTTGTTTTGAGACAAGGTCTCTCTCTCTCTCTAGCCCTGGTTGTCCTGAAACTCATTAGGTAGATCAGGCAGGCCTTGAATTCTGTCTACCTGTGCCTCCTGAATCCTGGGATTAAAGGCATGTGCCACTATACCTGGCTCTGGATAATGCTATTTCCGCCTTATGGAACACCATGCTGCCAATGAAGGTATGGATTTTAGAGTAGAAAAACAATACACAAAGATGTGATTTGTTTTTTATAAAACAAAGAAAAGAAATACTGCACGAGGACATTACTATGAGAGCAGTAATGTGCGTCTCACATATCGGCAAGTATATTCTCCTGAGAGGGAGACAGCTTGGAGGCCACATGGTTTCTACCACAACTACTCAGTTGTGCTAGTGGAGCAGCGAAGCATCCCTACAATATATACAAATGAGCATAGCCATGTTGCATAAAACTTTTAAAAAATCCAAGCAGGTATGATGGTGTATGCCTTTAGTCCCAGCGCTTGGGAGACACTGGCAGATGAGTCTCTGAGCTCAAGACCAGCCTGGTGAGCTCCAAGCTAGCCAAGGCTACATAATGAGACCGTGTCTCAAAAAAAAAAAAAAAAAAATTTCTAAGTGGACACGAGCTGGCTCCGTTTTCTTCACCCCCCTACCCCCCCACCCAAGGTCCCCGCCAAGCAGATTTGTTGTCCATGGATGACAGCCATTCTGACCAGGGTAAGGTGCTGGCTTAGATGTTACACACGTTAAACGAATTAGACTGTATGTCTTGCTCACTTCCTTATCCCCTGTGTCAATGACATGTTGCCATGCTTACCTGAGCTCCATCCCTGGGACCACATGTGGTTATCAAAGAATCAACTCCCACAGATTGTTCTCTGACTTTCACACATGTATCATGGCATGCATGCATGTACTCACAGACAGACAGACAGACAGACAGGCACACACACACACTGCACTACACTTTTTACTGTCTTCTTACGTGCCTTAGAAGCCTGTATAAAACTACGGAAAAGTCTACAATATTCTATAATGAATGGTTGCCTCTGTCTATGTGGAGTAAAGGTTAGATGTACTAATCATGAAAGAGAAAAGTTACCATTCAAAGAGCAGTGAATGCTGTAGAATTTCACTTACGGATTTCTCTCAAAGCTTTTATATGATGAAAAGGTTAATGATTATTAAGAATACAGCCCCAAGATGATGTGATAGGGGACAGACTGTCAACACACATTACAGTCCTAAAAAGAAACTCCTGTTAGGCAATGAATTCTGTGTTGAATTCCACTGGTCTGCGGCAACACATATGTAAGCACTGATACCTTATGAACAAATAAATGTGCAACCGTACATACACATTAAACACACTCTTGACAGAGGTCACTGTCTTTATCATTTCCTTTTTTTGCATTATAAAAATATTATTATCCCACAATAAATAGTAATACTGTTGATAGAAAATTCCAAAAACTTTCCTACAGTCTGGTAACAATGTGTCTTCTGTCATTTTCTATACAGTAACTTTTCTTAGCCCATTGCTTTAGGGTTTCCTCCTAGGATAAAATCCATAATCTTACTAGAAATGTCTCCTACAAATAATATGTTTATAAACAAGCAGTGTACATCTAGACCTCTAAAGTACAGAGCTATAATGTACAGTAAGTTCTCTTCAAGTAATTTAAGGATTAAACTTCAGCTAGGAATATGTTTGCCGACTATGAACTCACTTCTTGGAACTGAACCTAAAGGAACTGTCTCTGGCATAAATTGCTTGGCATTTATTCTGATCGTTCTGTTGGAGGCCTTCGGACATTCAGAGCACACGAGGACCTTTCCCCAGTATGAATGCAGGGCTGCTCATCTAGCTAACAGATGGCTTCCAGTCTTCTCCGCACTTCTATGTGAGAAGGATGATGGACCTTAGTCAACGGCGTGCATTATGGAACAATTTCCTGTGGCATTCCTACAGCTTCTTGCAAGCGTGAGTCCGCTGATGGCATTTCAACACAGACTTCTGAAGGAACGCCTTCCCACACTTTTGGCAGACGAAAGACCTCCCCCTACTGTGAGTCATCTGATGTCTAGGCAAAGACGATTTATTGTAGAAGCCCTTCCCACATTCAGGGCACACGTACGGTTTCTGGCCTGTATGAATTTGCTGATGAGATGTCAGTGCTGACTTCTGGATGAAGCTTTTCCCACATTTTTGACAGACAAAAGGTCTCTCCTTAGTGTGAGTTACCTGGTGTCTATGCAAAGATGACCTGCCGAAGAAACCCTTGCCACACTCAGCGCACACATAGGGTTTCTCGCCTGTGTGGATTCGCTCATGATCTCGGAGTTGGCCCTTTGAAGCCAAGGCTTTCCCACACTCACTGCATTTGTAAGGCTTTTCCCCTGTGTGTGTTCTCTGGTGTGTTCGAAGTACCGACTTCTGACTGAAGGCTTTCCCACACTCACCACAGAGATGGTGTTTTTCCCCAGTATGGATTTTTGTGTGTAGATTGAGGGATGATCTCCGACTGAAGGCCTTCCCACATTCAGAACAGGCGTACGGTGTCTCCCCGGTGTGAATCCGGAGGTGCTCCTTCAGCTGGGAGGAGTTGCTGAAGGCCTTCCCACAGTGGCTGCACTTGTACGGCCTCTCCCCCGTGTGAATCCGGTGGTGGACTGTCAGCTGGGATGTGTGGCTGAAAGATTTCCCACAGTACCGGCACTGATGAGGCCTCTCCCCCGTGTGGGTTTGCTGATGAGACGTCAGCTGTGAGCGCTGGAAGAAGGCCTTGCCGCATTTGGGACAGGCGAAAGGCTTGTCCCTGGTGTGAGTTATCTGGTGTCTCAGGAAGCCTGAGCGACCGTGAAACCCTCTCCCGCACCCAGTGCACACGTAAGGTTTCTCTCCCGTGTGGATTCGCTCGTGCTCTTCGAGCTGGTACTTAGAAGCCAAGGCTTTCCCACAGACGCTGCACTGGTGAGGCTTCTCCACTTTGTGAATCCGGCGGTGCACGTTCAGTGTGAACGAGTAAGTGAATGATTTCCCACACTCCCGGCACTTGTAAGGCTTCTCCCCCGTGTGGACGCGACGATGCATCTTCAGCTGGGAGGCATACGCGAACGACCTCCCACAGTCGCTGCACTTGTGCGAATCCTTCGCCAGGTGAAGTCTCTGGTGTGCGCCGAGTTCTGACCTCTGGCTGAACTCTTTGCCACACTCACTGCACACCTGGTGCCCTCGTCTAACATGGATTTTCTGGTGAACGGTGAGGCTTGACTTCCGCTTGAAGGCTTTCCCACAGTCACCGCACTCGTAAGGCTTCTCCTTCACGTGAATCTGGTAATGCACTTTCAGTCGGGACATGCAGCTGAAGAACTTCCCACAAACGGTGCACTGGTAAGGCTTCTCCCCCGTGTGAATCGTCTCGTGTGTGCTGAGGATTGACTTCTGCTTGAAGGCTTTCCCACACACAGGGCACACGTACGGTCTCTCCCCCGTATGTGTTCGAGAATGCACCTTCAGCTGGGAGGTATTGTTGAAGGCCTTCCCACACTCACGGCACTCGTAAGGCTTCTCTCCGGTGTGGATTCGATGATGGACCTGCAGGTTGGACGTGCGACTGAAGCATTTCCCACAGTCTGGACACTCATAAGCTTTCTCCGTGTGAGTTTCTTGATGGGAGCTCAGCTCTGACTTCCGGAGGAAGGCCTTCCCACACTTACGGCAGATGAAAGGGCTCCCTCCGGTGTCAGCTGCCCGCTGTTCACACAAAGTGGGCATGTCACAGCAGACCTTTCCACACTCAGTGCGATCATCTGGCTTCTCTTGAGAACAGACTTCTTGCTGTGGAAGTGGTTGTTTATGGATGGGAACTTTTCTGCCCTGGTTACCTTTGCATGATTTCTGCCCTTCGTGAGGAGTTACACAGCGGGCATCGGCAGAGTCTTGTGTGAAGAGCTGACCAGTTGTAGCGACACCATTAAGCTGTTTTGTGACGTTGCTTTGATCGTCACCACCTGCTTCACCCGTCTGTGTAGAAGTAAGGCTGGACACCAACGGAGTGTTTTGCCCAGGCTCTTTACATTCAGAGTCTCTGTCTGTGCTCTGTGTTTTCTTGTTGGGAAGGGCACCAGGGCTCCGGGGTGGGATCTGATTTGGCTGGTCTCTTTTTGTAGGGTCAGGAACTTGCCACAATTCCTTTAAAACAGCGCACCACAAACCGTGTCTTGTGATTGCACTTGCCTTACTAGTTTGAAATGCTGCATTCTCAGCAACTTTCTGTTGAGGGGTATAAAATTCTGATTCCACTTCTGGAAGAAGAAAAGAAATGGAAGAATATACATGATGGGTGAAGAAGCAGTAAGAGTTAATAAACAGTGAGCACACACACACCAAAATCTAGGAGTTACTTACTACAATGAGTAGAACATTACCGCATCCCTTATGATAGGCCAAACATCAGCTGTTGAGTACTCACTGCCAAGCAACTTTCTTTATGATGAAAAAGAATTCGTTTTATCCCCCAAGCCATCTCATAAAACATTTGTAACTACTCTCCCTGTTTTACAGATGAACAAATACTAATATGAATACTTAGATCAGTGGTAAAGATGGCTTCAGTAATCTGTGGGGAAAACTTTTTGGACAAAGCATTATTTATGTAGGAGACATGGTTCATGGGGTAAAAAATATGTAGGAGAAGACAGTGATAAGGCGGTTAACAGGTAGCCTCCGTGGACAGCCAAGTGTTGCAAGAGAAAAGAGAACACTGGAGCAGAGGACTTCATTAATTTCAGAGAAAAACATACCTATGCCTTTTGCCTATTTTTCATCTAGTTAAATATTCTTATACTTATGTAATTCTATTAATATATGGTGTGAGAGATGAAAATTTACTCAGTCTAGTAAAGCACTCTATCCTTGAGACCAGCACAATTTTCTTTCTTTCTTTCTCTTTTAACAACAGTTTACACTGTCGTTCCTTACTTTTCTGACGCCTCACTATATATGAGTGGTTAAAAGCATGTGAAGCTTTTGCAGAGGCCTGGAGTTTAGTTTCCAGCACCTACATCAGGCACCTGTTAACTCCAGCTGCAGAAGACCCAACACCTTCTCTGGCCTCTATGGAACACTACCCCCAACCCCACGTGACATCTATTTACACAGATACAACACATGCACACAAAGATAAATCTAAATGAGAAAAATCTACAACACTGATCAAACATATCTAAGGGATACCTACAGAATATTCCCTCCAACAGAAATGGAATAAAATACTTCTCAGCAGCCCATGAAAGTTTCTAAAAAAAAACAGACCCTATGCTAGATTACAAGGCAAATCTGAACAATACAAAAAAAGCTGAAACAATTCTCTGTGTCTTAAAAGATCATAACAGAATAAAACCAAAACCCAACAAGAGGAGAAGCCACAGAAACTACACAGATTCATGGACAGTGAGTCACAAAGAAATAAGGGAGGAAATTAAAATAGTTCTAGAAGAAGAGAAGATGAATGCTAACTCACTTTGATTTTTGGATACAGCTAGGACACTTCTACAAGAAAACTGATATCTGAGATATTTACATTAGAGAAATCAGAGAGTTCAACCTAATGATGGAACTAAAGGTCTCAGAAAATGAAGAAAAAAGGCAAAATCCAAAGGAGTAGACAGAAAAAAAAAAAAATCAAGGCAGCAATTAATGAAAAGAGAACTAACAAAACAATACACAGAAGGAAACAAACTGATAGATGAGACTGGGACTCAGAAGATAGCTGTAAAGAGCACTCACTGACTGCTCTTCTCAAGTTCAGTTTCCAGCACTCAAATGGCAGCTCACAGGCGTTTCTAACGGGTAATAGGGGATCAGATGCCCTCTTCTGGCTTCTGTGGGCTCTGCACAAACACGGCACACATACAGGAAAAACAACCATACCCATTTAAAAAAGAGAGAGAAATTGAAAAACTAAAGACTAAAATTAATAAAATTAAAAACAAACAGAGGCTATTCCAACTGATTCCAATGAGATACAGCAGTTTACTGGGGAGTGAATACTTCGACATCCTAGATTGAAAAGAAATGGGAAATTTTAGAATAAGTGGTTAAAATTTTAAGTCACATATGCCCTATGAAAATTAAAATCATGCTAGGTGTAGTGGTGCATGCCTTTAATCCCAGCATTTGAGAGGCAGAGACAGGCGGATCTCTTGAGTTCAAGGCCAGCCTTGTCTACAGAGTGAGTTCCAGGACAGACAGAGATATATAGTGAGATCATTTCTTCAAAACAAAACAAAACAAAACAACAAAACCCAAGGAAATTAAATCAAGACAATAAAAACAAAGTAGATTCATAAGAAGCAGTAACACAGCATCTCCATACAGAGAAAAGCCCAAGACCATATTCATTGTGAAATCTTCCTAAATCTTTAAGGAACAGGTAACATCAATACGTCTTAAACTCTTCCTTAAAATAGGAAAGGAAGAAACATAAACATGAAAGACATACTGTATGAGGCCAGTATTGGTATCTAATGCCAAAACTGGATAAGGATGCAACAGAATAACAAAAGGAAACTACAGAATAATTTCCTTGATGAAAATGGACACAAAATGTCATAAAAAAATTTTCAAAACATATCCAAGAACATATTAAGAAGCATCTTTAACAAATGCATAAAAAATGAAATTAGATCCACGTCGTTTTTCTCCATGGCTAACTAAAATCCCATTAGGTGGATGTTCTACATTTTCTTAAAGTATTCATCTGTTGAAAGCCAGAAAGAATAGTTCTAATTACAGATCAATTTATAGGCTATATGTAGAACTATAAAAGAATCAAAAACCAAATTCTCCAATCAAGAAATAGCTAATATATTTACTGGATACTTCTCAAATCAGATGCAAATGTTCAATAAGTATTTGAAAAAGTGTTCAACGGTTTTAATCACTAGGGAAATACCATTTAAAACTTTCATATTCCAGCTCACCCCAGTCAGAATGGCTATTAAAAGACACAGACAACAATGCTAACAAGAAAAGTGCAGCTCTGTCCACCGCTCCAGAGCATGTAAACTGGTATAGACGGGTGGAAGGTCCTCAAAGAACTAAAAATAGAACCATCATATGACCCAGCCAGACTCACCTCCCCTATATGCCTGAAAAACTGTATGACATACGCAGACAATACTCGAACAGCCATATTTACTGCTGCACTATGAAATGGAACCAGATGTCTCTCAACGGATGACAGCATTAAGGAAATATAGAACATATACCTAATGGGATCTTAATTAGCCATGAAGAAAAATAAAATCACGACAACCATAGCAAAATGGATGGAACTTGAGATCATTATGTTAGGTGAATTGAGACCCAAAGACACATTAGCACCTTCTTTCTTAAATGTGAACTCCAGATTTTAATTTCTATATGTGCATGTATATAGACATAAATACATATACACGTGTGTGTATGGGAGTGCATATGTTGTGTGTATAGTAAAAGTAGAAAAAGGTCTGTGAAAGGAGAAGGGCTCTTAAGGGAGGAAGAAGAGGAGGAGGAGGAAGAAGAACAAGCAGCGAGTGGAACATATATGCCATGCAGGCAGAAGAGAGACAATCTGTGGCAAGGAAACGGACCAGCAAGAGAGGGCTGGAGGAGGTCACTGGGGAAAGGACCAGGAGAGAAAAAAGCATGACAGCTATTACAAGAAAATTAACTTAAAAAAATGTCCAATTAAACTATCAGCAACTATGCTACAAACTTTGTAGCTCATTAATGTATCTCATCAGTGCTGGCACATCTGTCTGTCTATATTTCCACCACACGGGGACTGAACTCAAGGCCCTGTGCACACCAGGCTGGCAATCTAGCATTGAGATACACATCCCCAGCCCTAACCGTGGCTAACATGAACACAAGAACAACAAAACCAACTTCCTCCCTAACAACACATTTATCCGTATCCTCAACCACCACTAAGTTTCCTTCACCTGCTTTCTTTCTGTTGCCAGTTTAGTAATGCCCAGCCAGAGGAGACAAACAAGGCGTACAAACACGAATCTGTATGTAGACCTTACGGGAAATACGGTTAATCATTCAACGGAGATATTGTTAACTGCTTATTCTCACTCCTCGCCCATATTCACACTGCACTGTGGCACTAGCTGTAGAGGGTGGGTAAGGAGGCAAGCTTGATGCCCACCACTGGGGGAAGGGATGAATAAGGATGACTGGTAAATGGCCCTATAGTGACATATACCTCCATCTGGGTCATTGTCACTCACCTTGACACCAACAGTGCTGATGTGGGGACTTAGCCTCTCCTATCTGTGACTTTCTTTTCTTTATCCTGAAGATGGCGCCAGGGCTGGGAATAGGATATCCTGTAAATTGGAAGAATATCTACTCATCCAATGATTTTGCGCTGGCTGATTGGCAAAAATCAACATTTTGTATTGGGCACAGAGTAATTAACCTGGAATGTCGAAAGTAATGAATTATCAGGACAGACCACGGGGAAAAACCATTACACACTTTTGATATCCCATCACGTTATGTTCTACAGAAAAAGAGATCTTTTCAATGAGGCCCATCCTGCATCCCCAGGCCGGCTGTGCTCACCCACTGACAAGAGGTGGCTGTAGATCTCCAGCATCACCTCCTGGTACAGGCGTCTCTGGGCAGGGTCCAGGCACCGCCACTCCTCCTGGCTGAAGTCCACCGTCACATCCTCAAAGGTCACCAATCTCTGCAACACGAAGTGTAACACTGTAACACTCTAACACAGAAAGTACAACCCATGCTCAGCTCCTCCTCACAGACGTGACACAGCAACGTGATTCTTTACTGTGGCTTATCATCAGCCTTTCCAGAAAATTTCCACTTCATATTATATGAACAATATATCAAATAAATACGTTAGAAAGTTCCTAAAAAACATCCTTCCATCGCTTGTACAGTCAAGACTCTTCTTCCCCAACGCAGCCAGACCTGGTTTGTCACTAATACTTCAAACAGGAATCAGCTGCCTGACAGCCAGAGCCAACATTCCTCTAAGCTTCAGTGGAGTGGTGAAGTATCATAACAGGCTGAGAACCAGTTGAAGGAAGAGGCTGGAGACCTTGTACAAAATCAACCGTGCTGTTTCATTTTAGCTTGGGTAATTAATTTTCATTTTTATTAATCTGGGAAATCATATGTCAAGATATCTCTAGTATCCTTAGACATAAAAGGTCCATCCATAAACCAGATGACAACTCACTGAAAGGCATATTATAATTTTCTTAAAAAGCCTGAAATTCCTTTTTAAAACTACAGTATCAGTTAGGTGTGGTGTATGCCTTTAATAACAGGACTCTGAAGACAGAGGCAGGTAGATCTACAAGTCTGAGGCTAGTCTGGTCCATACAGTGCATTCCAGCCAGAGAAGGCTACATAATTAGACCCTGCCTCAAGCAAACAGACATGTAAACAGAACAATAACAATCACTAGACAGGTTAGAAAGTAAAACTGAGATAGTCTGCCAGAAAACAAAGCAAAAACTTTAAAATAGATAATCAGGATGGAGGAGATGGCTCAGCAGGTAGAAACGCCTGCTGCCCTGCCTGACGATGACTTCCGTCTCCAAGACAAGTGGAAGGAGAAAGAGACTCCAGCAAGTTGTCCCCTGACTTCCACACAACGCCTGGGCATGTCTATACCACCCTCCCAAAAATAAACAAAAACAAACTTAACTGCAGTGGAGAGTCAAATTTGAAAGATAGGATTTTCACAGGGGAGGGAGTGAAGAGAAAATAAGTTTCTGATGTGTGCGATGTCCAGAAGAGAAGAAGTGATCTCCACCCTACAAACGAAATCTAGCCAAAGACAAGTGTTGCTAAAGAAATATTTCCAAGGCTTCTCTAAAGCCAGTACTCTGACAAGTTACTTCACATATAAGTGACGAAATATATTGTCAGAACATGGTCCAATAATGGAAATGTGTGAGGAGCATTCTGAGTGCTTATGAGAAAAAAAAAAAAGACAAGATCTTGTGACCCAAGTTTCTTCAAAAAACGTAGAATTGTTCTTGGAGCGTGCTTCCGTGCTCCTCCAGGTGCAGTGGACGGGAGTGGGTTTACTTGAGATTATTCACTGACCGGCTGTTGTTATTTGTTTATATGTCTCCATGAAAACAACAACAACAAACGTGGTCTTGCCTCTGATTGGAGGCTTTACTCATGTGACTCCTCTTAACCCTCAGGGTATAAATTGTCTAATGCTCGGAATAAAGTTGGTTATTGCATGAGGCGGCCTTGTTTATTGGCTCCATTCTCCCAGGTCCCGCCGCCCCTAGAGCAAAAAACTATATATTTTCATTTTTGGCAAGGCATCACGAGACACCCCGGTCCTGCTCCGTCCCATGTCTAGCCTCCAGCTTTAGAGACCTGGACGCCAGGCAGCTGCTGCCTACCTCACATGTCCCGTCCTGCTCCTGTGGGCTCAGTGTCTGGGGCTTCTGGGACAATTTCATGTCATCAGGTATGTTTCTTCTCTTGGCCAGTTTTCTCAGGCACTGGAAGCTGGCTGAATGTCTAGATTTTCCCAGAAGAGCAGCTGAGCAGAGAGGCCATCTGTAGCGAGACAGAAAATCCCACAGCCTGGGTGATATGGCCTGACTTAGGCCTGAAGAGACAGCAGAAAGCCCCAGAGAGGGAATGACCTCGTGGTCCCAGCCAACACTTACTCATGAGTTTCTGAGGGTCCAAGACAGTCACAGTATAGACATGATAGAACAGACAAGGTTCAGGAAAGCCCAGCTCTAGAATTGGCCAGAGTGATGAAAAAGAAATTAAAAACAAAAACCAAACACCATAGTCTGGGGTCTGGAAAGATGGTGCAGTGAAGAAGAGAGCTTGCTGCACCAGCAAGAGGACCTGAGTTCAAATCCCCGGTAACCTGAAAAAGGCAGGCTTGGCCACAAGTGCCTGTGACTCCAGCACTGTGTGGGACAGAGAGGAGGAGCTCTGCTCCTCAGCTATCAGCCAAGCTCCAGGTTCGGTGAGAGCCCCAACCTCAAGGGGGTAAGGCTGGGAATGATGGAGCAGGACACCCAACAGCTAACTCTGGCCTCAGTACATGCACACTTACAGACAGGTGCACCCACACGCCTATACGACATGCAACACACATTCCCAAACACAAACAACCCCAGGGTTAGGACTACATTTAAGGAAGGAGTCGCTGCGGCTCCTGTACTTCTTAACTGAGGGAAGAGGAGGTGTTAACCTGGCTGTGGTCAGGTGAGAGCGCAGGTGTGGACCACGGGCATTGAGATTCTGAAGTGACAGGAAGCTCTGCGGACCCGCAGGGCCTGCATATAAACACACATACCAACGAGCAAGCTTTCCCAGGCTGCTCCGTCTTCCGAGCTTTGTTAAGCCATTCATATACAAGCTACACCAACCCCCAGCTTTCTGAGACGTGGTCTCTCTATGCTGCTCTAGCTTGCCCTGGAGCTTTCCATGTAGACCAGGCTGGCCTCAGACTCACAGAGTTCCTCCTGCCTCTGCTTCCTGGGTGTCGGGACTAAAGGTGAGAGCCACCATGCCCAGCTCTCTTTTAACCATGGTATACAGGATAACCATGTCCTAAGGATCGGCATAACCGTTTCTTTTTCAGACGTGACACGGTTCCAGAATGTGCCCTAAGAGGAGGAACAGGGATCATCAATAAACCACACACAGTCCCCATTTTACCATGTGGTTCTCTGTGTGCTCGGCACCCAGAAACCTTTCTGGATCTTCCTGAGAGCAGAGATGCGGCGCAGTGTGGTATGGTGACGGCCACCCCTTCATTTCTAGGCATTTTCATATTCCTCTATTCACACACTGACGCCCCGGTCGCTTCCCTTAAAGCCAGTGGCCTAGTCCCTTCCCTGACTTGGAAACCCTGCACACAAACACCAGGCTCTCCAACACACAAAGCATTTCTCTCCTGTCCACAGTATCTACCTATTCACGGGAAACAGGGCGTGCTCACTGACATCCTGGACTTCCGGTAACCTCCAAAGTGGAGACCATAGGGTTAAACACGGGCATACCCAGTTCCAGAGATCATCACTACTTTGTCAGCCAAGAAATGTTCACGAGAGACGGCAATTTACGGGTTTCCAGAGGAAACCTGTAAAACGAATTCAACAGTGAGGCCCAAAGGGCAGTCCCCAGTAAGGACACAGCATCATTCTGCTCAGAAGCCAGTCACTGACCGTAGGATCCTCAGCGGAGGCAGCACCGCCCCACCTCACTGCAGAGGACCTGAGCCATCATGTAAAGTGGACCCAGGGCTTAGGCTTTGCCTTTTAGACGTTTGTTTTTGCATCTCCAGTTCCCTACAGGAGACTGCCTGCTGGCGATGAAATGCTCCTGTCCTACAAGCCTTGCCGCCTGCACAAAGGCTCGGCAATCAGCTCTGGGGACTGTGCCCACTGCTAAGTGTACTCACGCGCTTCCCCCGGCTTTTGTGAGAAGCGACAGGCTGACTGAGAATGGCTGGTCTTCCCAAACTGAGCCCAAGCCACGAATGATCTCATTTTCCATCTATATCTACTTTTTCTCTTGCAGCAGGCCACTGCTGGGTCAGAAGGCAGCGCGACGCAGGCTTTCGGCAGCCGGCTCCGTCGCCTCCCTCAGCAACCACGCTCCCACAAGACTCTCACCCCAGCGCTCAGCAGCACAGCACGCTCCCCGCGACCTCACAGCGTACCGCAGAGAGCTCCGCACACCGCACGCCGGGGCCCTGCGACTTCCGCCCAGGGCGCCCAGCGGCAGAACCCAACCTCGGTGCTGTCCCGACAGCAATAACAGAACAGGTCTGCGCGGAGATTTAAGCGGAAATGACCCCTCCGGATCACTTCCGTTTACTGTGGATCAAGGGTTTCAGCTCCCCCCCACACACACACACACCGCGACCGCTGGAGGATGGCAAGGCGCATGCGCACTACCACTTGTGAGGGTACAACTTGAGGATCTTCATCTCGGATTGTCTTGCAGGTTCTTTCAGGAGCTGTCACAGCCACTCGCACGATACAACGATACAGAAACTACCATCACAGTATGTTAGTTCCACGCAGCCAGGCCAGGCTTGTGGAACGTGATACAGTGAAAGTCTGAGACTATCTCACATTGTCAGGGGATTTCTTTCCCACCCGTATGTGTATATCCTCGATTTCTAAGAAACTGTGATATACTGCATATTACTAAAAAAAAACCATTTACCTGTATTTTTCCAGGAACTTAAAAGATTTCTTTATTCTCTACACAAAAAGAAAGAAAAAGAAAACTAGGCAGGTTTGCTGGGGAGTGGGAATTGGAGCTATCGGCAACCTTTAAAGCTGGGGGTCTGAAATAAATGTGATAGTGGGACATTTAACAGTCCCCAGAGGTGGGGGGAACCTGTTGTCGTAGTGGTTTTTTATTGTTTACTATTATTTATTGTACATATATAAAAAGTATAGAGCTAGGCCGAGAAGGAAATAATGCAGGATGGGATTGAGCAGCTGACAGTGAAAGCAGCCAGTACAGTCGAGGGAATAAATCAATAGGCCGAAGTAGAATATTTGAAAAACATGAAAGACTATGTGCAGTATCTCGGGTTAACATTCTCTAGCTCCGTGTAGACCAGGCTGGCCTTGAACTTGCTGTGATTCTCCTGCCTCTGCCGCCCAAGGCTGGGAGGGATAGCCATCGTGCCTGACTTCACAGATGATCCTGATCATCTTGAGAATGAACTATATACGTGGTACTCTTGTGACCAGAGTTTTATGTCCAAAGATACAGCTGTGGGGAATCCCAAAGAGTGAGCTCAGCCACCCATCACCACTTGTCAAGGTTATAATAAACTACATAAAATTAATATCGTGCAAGTATCAGTTTCTGCTGATTTGTATGGTACATCTCAGCCTATCGTTGATAGCCATACATATTGGAGTCAGGGTTCACAATGGGATCAAATATCCTGCAACAACTTGGTACCCAGGTGGTACACATTTGAGGAAGTGTGGCCTTGTTGAAGGCATGTCACTGGGAATGGGCTTTGAGGTCTCAAAAGACCACACCACTCCCCGTCAGCTTCTGCTTTGTGCCTGTGGATGAGTTGAGAGCGGCCAACCACCGCTCCGGCACCAGGCCTGCCTTCCTGTTGCCCTGCTGCTCATGGACTCACTCTCTAAATCTGTAAGCCCCAAGCAAAGTCTTCTTTTTTCTATAAGTTGGCTTGATTCTTGTGTCTCATCATAGCAACAAAACAGTAAAGACCTGTTGAGATGCTTGCTGGGATGGAGGAAATACAGAATGGGTAGAGGAGGAAGGTAGCCATAAATATCAGCTAAGGCCACATGACCAGTGCTGAAATGAGGGTTATAATAGACATGAGTGTTTCTGTCGTATTTTCTTAAATATAAATGTATGTGTGTGTGTGTGTATATATATATATATCTATATATATATATATATATATATATGTATATATGTATATTTTTAAAGCAAATACCTGTGGGTTTTTTCCCTCAATTTTCTTATATAATGTAATGTCAATTGAGATATCAGGGGCTCTCATATTTATGTTTTGAGACACTAAGGAGGAAACTTGAAGGATGTTTCTCAAGGAATATTGTCACCTATTTGGAAATATGTATGTGTTTGCAGTTGTATGTCAGACAGTTATATCACATTAGGTGCAATTATGGCACGGTCATTGTTTTAATTTGGAAATTAAGCATGGTATAAGGAGATGTGATTGTGTATCAAGTTGACAAGAAATAGATTTGTAATGGCTAATGTTGATTGTCAATTTGCCTATATCTGGAATTAACTAAACCAAAAGCAGCTGGGCATACCTGCAATACATTTTTCTTGATTTCATCATCTGAGGTGGAAAGACCCACACTATAATCTGGACTCTACCTTCTGGTAGCAGCTCACATAGAAAGACGTGGAAGAAGAAATCCTTTGCTATTTTACCTGCTAGGCATTACTCTTGATGACAAGGTCAGCTACTTTGCTGCTGAGCTATTCCTTTGCTGGCATTAAAATCTATTGCTTCAGGAGTCCAACACAGACCAATGACTAGCTAACAGATCTAGTCATGTGGGCTGAACAACTACTAGATTCTTGGCCTTTCCACCGGTAAGTAGCTATGGCTAGGCTAGCCAAGCCACAGCATAAAAACCCACTTTAATATATTCAGTTTTAATAAGGCTCATTCTGTCAGTCTGTTTCTCACACTTTCTTCAAATAAGTCTGGGATTCAATTAGAAATAAGCTTATGCACTGAACTGATTTCCGGATAAAGCCTGCCAGAATGGTGTCTGATACATGGGGCTCAGTATACACTGAAGCTCTTCCCACATTCGGAACCCACAGAATATCTCTCCCCAGGATGAAATCAATGATACATTTTTTTAGTTGGGGTGCATTACTAGATGATTTCCCAGTCTTTGGTAACTGTGATGGTTTGAATAGGAATGCCCTGCCCCCTGTAGTCTCAATATATTTGAATACTTAGTCATTAGGGAGTGGTGATGCATGACAGGGATTAGGAGGTGTGGCCTTGTTGGAATGGGTGTGGCCTTGTTGGAGGAAGTGTGTCACTGGGGGTGGGTTTTGAGGTCTCAAGCCAGGCCTAGTAGCTCACTGTCTCTTCCTGCTACCTATGGATCCAGATGTAGAGCTCTCAGCCCTCCAGCACCACGTCTGCCTTCATGCTGCCACGCTTATACTGGGCTAACCCTCTGAACATAAGCCAATCCCAATTAAATGCTTTCCTTTATAAAAGTTTCTGTGGTCCTGATGTATTTTCACAGCAATAGAACACTGACTAAGATGGAAATTGGTGCCAGTGATATCACTGTGATAGTCTTCATTACATTTCTCGTTGGTGGAAAGTGGACTTTGGATTAGGAAAGCAGCTAAACAGCATAAATGGGGCTTGATGGGCCATACTAGTAGAGGCATAGAAGACAGTGGTGCTGAGGGTGGTTTGAACTGTGGGCCCCAACTTAACAGAAGGAGAATACTTGTATGCTTCCTAGAGATCATTCTTGTAATATTTGGTGGAGAACATGGCTGCTTTTTGATCCTGTCCAAAATCTGCCTGAGGCTAAATTGAAGGGTTTTGGATTAATGGTGTTGGCAGAGGAGATTTCAAATAGCCTCGTATTAACTGTGTTGCTTGGTCATTAGTGGTCATGCTTACTTATGTAGATCTATAATGAAAAGGAGCAAGCTGAGAAAAAAAAATACAAAATGTACAGTTTGAGGAGAAAAGGAGCACCAGGAACTGTTTTGGAGCTAAGTCTAGTGCTTAAGGACAAAATGCTAAATGGAATAAAGGGAGTACTGGCTTCAGGGCAAGATCCTACCCAGCTAAGCTTCCAACTTGTGAAAGGAATTAAGGAAAGCTTATGGCTAAGCATGGTAGTGCACCTGGCACCTCCCAGCACCTGGGAAGCAGAGGGGCAGATCTCGAAGTTCAAGGCCAGCCTGAACTCCCAAGTTGTGAGTTCCAAGAGAGCCAAGCTTAGGTATCAAGAAAAGAAGAAGAAGAAAAAGAAGAAGAAGAAGAAGAAGAAGAAGAAGAAGAAGAAGAAGAAGAAGAAGAAGAAGAACAAGAACAAGAACAAGAACAAGAAGATAACAAACTCACACACATCAAAAAGAAAAAGCTGGTGAAAAATGTATTTGGGCAAGGGAACGGTGTTCCAGCCCCACTAAGCAGCAGAACTTAGCAGCTTTGGCCATGTGCTTCTGGCTTTAGAGTCAAGGCCAGAAGAGAAGGGTTGTGGAATTTCCCACCCAGGCTAAGGACAGCTGTTGAGGCCACCTGTATGTCACGTCTCTCTCTCTGCATGGAGGTCCACAGAAGCCTTTGCATGAAGCTGTGGAGGTAAGGCCTAGATTTCACTGGGGACTTCAAGATGCTGGAGATGCCAGAGTCATGGGATACCCGCCAAGGAAAACTGCTAACAGAGTAGAACCAGCCCAAGGGAGAGAAGTGTGTTGCAGTCAACAAAGCTGAAAGGAGTTGGAGATCTCAAGAGTTTTGACATCAGACATGGAGATGCAGATTTGCACACCTGGCTTTTGGTCTTGCTTTAGTCCAGTATCTTCTCATTATGCTCCCTTTCCTAAGTTTTGGAATGGTGATGTATAGTCTTTGCCAGTGTATGCTGGAAGCACATGATCTGCACGTTGATTTTATAGGGCGATTGTAGTTAAGAAATTGCTCAAAGAGACTTTGGGCCTTTAAACAGTGTTGACACTGTGATAGACTATGTGGACTTTTGAAGTTGGACTAAACACGTTTTGCAGCATAATATGCCTCTAAGCTTACAGATCCAGGGAATGAATTGTGGTGGTTTGACTAAAAATGACCTTGTTGGAGGAAGTGTGTTACTGGGGGTGGGCTTTGAGGTTTCAAATGCTCAAGCCAGGCCCAGTGTCTCCCTCTTGCTGCTGCCTGCTGATCCAGATATAGAACCCTCAGCTCTTTCTCTCACCCTGTATGTGGTGGTGCACACCTGTAATCCCAGTACTTGGTAGACTGAAGCAAGATTACTGCTAAGTTTGAGACCAGGTTAGGCTGTATAGTGAGTTCACATCCAGCCTCAACAAGAAAGCAAAGCCCTGTCTCGAAATCAAAACAAAATAAAAGAAAAAGACCAGGCAATTTTCACATTGCCTTCTAAGTATTTATGTTATGCCTATAGATTAGTGCTATTCTCAACCTTGGTCAGAGATGCTTCTTTTTGCAGTTGGGCAGTGGTCAATTCAAAGACTCATAATTGGTCAAAGTGCCGAGAATAAATGACTGTGAGTACTCAGCCCTAAG